AACCTCCAGAAATATCAACGAATAGAGATGGTCACTTCCCTTTACTTCTTTTCTTTACCTACTTACGTATGCTTGCTGAGTTGGAAGAACTGTGAAATTACTAACATTTTTGGTAGATTCTAACGTAGGAACCTCTGTTCTTTGAAAGTTAAATATTTTAGTATCTCCGGTTAAAGTGTTTTGTTTTCATGGTCATCCACGAGCAAATATGCGTCTTTCATGAAGTGCTTGACGTCCAGCCTGGTAATAAGTTAGTCAATGGTTTATTCATTACTTTGTGTAGGTGTCGTTTACAGTTTTCACAGACATGTTAGTAAGGAGGTGGATGCACTGCGGAAATCATTTTCAAATGATTAATAGCCCCAAAAGACTGAAGACACGAAGCAAAAAATATACTAAATTTTTAAGGTAAAATAAAGCACAAAAGTGAAATGGTTCAAGTTGCTACACTTCGTATAGCACACTAGGAGGAGGAAAAAGTAAAAGAGAGTTTACTATAAGGGAGTTTACGGAATAAAGAATAAGTATGTGGGGAAATAAAAAATGGAGTGAATTTAAGTCCCCAGGAAACCATGAGAAACTGAGTTGGTTTATAGAAAATTCTCATTTTCATGTCATCTATTCGAAGACTGAAGGGGTCGAGCAGAATATACTGATACCATGCGTTTGTCTACGTTTTATGAGTTTATTCTCAGTAAACGTGTGCATCAGTGGCACAGCCGTGGAAAGCTCGCCATCCACTCAGGTAGTTTAGGGTTCGACCCACATTTGACGCCCTCCTTTACCTCGTCAGGTCAGTAATAAGACTGGTAAAGAGGGAAGGTTGGACATTGGGCTAGCGACCCCATATCGTAAAAATGAACATCACTGCTATCGAAACTTCAGAGCTGTCGCTTGAAGCTCGACGTGAAGAAATAAAAAATTCTCAGTGAAAAGTCAACAGAGCTGGATCATTGAACACTGCTTATTTGTAAACATATTTCGTTTAAAATTCATTTGCTTCTGATGTTAAAATTTAGCTCACTTTAAATAAGAATGCGATGCATGGATGACACGGTGTGTACGTATGAAGTCTTAGTTTCTGTTACCCCAGCCTGGTCCATACATTACTTGGGACACGCTAGACTCTTTGGGCAGCAATTGTTCAACTTGGTCGAGGTTTGCCGTGTAACCGATTATTTCTCTGCGTGACAACCATTCAGCTAGTACCTAGACTCCTCGAATCGACCAAAACTGTTCACTCGAATGACTTAAAGATTTGGAGAGAGAGAGCATATGGAACACTTCGAAAAAGATGGGATACACAACGCAATGCTCTGCTTGGTTGGTGTAAAGACTGGACGGTTCCCATCAATATAGATAAGTGCTTAAGGGGCACAGGAGTGTCAGCACATACCATGTTGAAGGGACATCTCACACTTCAATTCAGGCATGTATTGATCTAGATGTCATGGTAATTCACGACTTTAAAATAATAAGCTCTCGTCCAGCTGTAGCTTAGGCCTTTAGAATCCTCATTATCATGATTGGCTAGTGATTACTTATTTTGACCACATTTCTCAGGATCCAAAGTCTTACTTTTAACATTTCGGAAAGAAAAACAAAAGAAATTTGTAGTTTAAGAAAGTAGTTCTTTTAACAATATCAATAGTTAGATGGTTCTTAACTGTGACGCTAATGGTACAGAAGCTATGTAGTTTTATTATAATGTTCGTGTTAAGCAGTCAGCCACTTATTTAGACTACTCTGTTGTTATGATATCAACAGCAGACTTCTGATGAGTGTAAATTAAATTAGGATATAAGATGATAAATTTTCTGTAATAGAAAAGAAACAACGATCAGTTCGTTTGAACACTGTGACCAAGGGTAACTGACTATAACCACTGTTCATCCTCATTACTACTAGCATTCCCTTGGACTAACTGTTAATTTGCTTTAAGCGTACCGACACGAAATGTGAAATTAAACTGATTCAAAGTGTGAATTCAGACTTTGTATGAAGTCAACTGGCCAAAGGTGAACATGGAAAAGAGTACACTTTCCACTCTCAACTTTCGGTTCAACAAATACGAGGTGAGGGAAGGTTACATCGAGAATTTTCAAGCTTCTAGAAGTATACTTCGAAAATGAAGCATTCGAACACGTCTTGCTTAATTTGACTTTTATTATTATTGTTTTTTCCTGTCCACATGATCTCCATCTCACTTGCGGACGCCCAACCCGTCGCATTCCAAGTTGGGTTCCACTCGTGAGTGTAGTGTGTGATGTCACTCGACGGTCTCCTTACAATACATCCATTCCATTGACACCTGCAACTTTGCGTAACAGGTTCTTGGCTAGTTCTCTGCCAGAGCCTTTTGTCGCTACTGCTTTCTCGCCTGCCGTCTAATTTTCAGTGTCGATGAAAGTCTGCAACAATTTATAAATTCTTGTCTTAGCGCGCATGCTAAGTTTTCGAAGTATATGGAAGCACTGGCTTGACATTAGTGTTGGAATTCCGAATCTTCATCATTGTGCTAAGTGCTCTAAATCACCACACTTTTTAAAGTAATGAATGTTTGTCTTGCTTTCTTGATCCGATCCCGATTGGCTTTGGCACCATCCGCGCTGCCTGTTGTTAGAGTGATGCTGCCCAGGCCAGGTAAATGAAAGAGATGATTTCCTTTACATTTTTCTCTTTGATAGCGATTACTGCTTGTTGTTGTTGGTTATGTACCTTCACCTTGGCAAACCTGAAAATGCTATTTGTTTATTAATTAGCGTTGGGGTAAAGCGTTTCGTATAAAGCGTTGTGGGGTATACTTTAGTGACAACTGAAATGTGAAGACACTTATTGCGAGCTACAAGTACTTTTATACTTTTGTGCTCTGGATTGTTGTAGACAATGAACTTATTTTCATGGGTACGGTTGCTAGTCCCACGCCTAACCCCCCCCCCGCTCCATTCCCGAACATAGGACTTGCTAGTAAACTAGGCTTCGCTCAACACAAGTAACAGGATCCGGATCTTCAGCACTGATGTCAAGCCAGTACTTCTATGTGGTTCAGAGACTTGGCGCGTCACCAAAAGCAATTCTGATAGTCTGCTGTATCTGTCTGTCTGGATTCAACATAGAACTTGGCACCGAAGTGCACCAGTTCGAGTTGCCACGTTCCAAATAGCCCACAGAGGTAGACAAGAAGATGAGTGAAGAGAATTAATAGAGTTTGACAAGTATAAGAGTGAAACAGAATGGGTAATGGTAGAAAGGAATATGAAAGATTACAGAGACTGAATACATCTGCGCCATTGACAACGATTTTGAGCCATGTCACCTATTGTCTCCAGCCATTGATTCCTAGAGTCCCGAGGGCCCCAACCCGGGAGTCTGCATCTCCCTACCTGACTCAGTTTAACTGTCAAGGATTTCGTGGATTGATGCCATGTTTTTGTTTGGCCACCACTGTCTCTTTTCCAACCTGAACCTATATCAGCTAGCAAAGCCCGTCGGGGGAGGCGGTGGTTAGGCATGCGCAGCACGTGACCTAGCCATCTTAGTCTATGTAACTTTATAGCCTCGTCGATTGATTTTCCCTCTTTACCCAACACTCTACGCCTAACATCAACATTACTTATCTTGTGAAACCACCTAACGTGAGACAGAGATCGCAGACATCTATGATCGAAAGCAGTCAACCTTTTCATGTCTACAACGCGTATTGGCCATGTTTCAGAGCCATAGAGAAGGACGGGGCGAACTGCTGAGCAGTACACACGTCCCTTGGTTGATAACCGGATGTCACGCCTACGCCAGAGATGGTGTAAGTCAGCGAAAGCAGCTCGAGCTTTTCGGATCCGTGCTGAGATTTCATCGCCAATCAGTCCGTTGGTGCTAATACAACTTCCCAAGTAGGTGAAGTGGTCAACATGTTCTATCACTTCCCTCCCTATCACTAAGTTAGGGGTTGACGTGGTCCAGTCCTGTAGCAGCATCTTACATTTTGTAGGGGCGAATCGCATGCCAAACATACGAAGATTGCTGCTCAAGGTGTTCAGAAGACTCTGCATTTTTTCAGCATCCTCCCCTAACAGGACTATGTCATCTGCATATTCTAAGTCCATAAGATTATTCCCTGGTAACAAGTCGATTCCTGCTGTATACTTTTATAAACATCTGATTTCGCTCGATAATGAAGACCAGATGGCCAACTGGAAAGCATAAGCAACAAGGACCTCTGTCGGGCAACGAACCAATCAAAAACCTACCGCCAAGCAAATATTCAGGAGGAAATGGAGATGGCTTGGGCATAGTCTGAGGAGACCGTCGATTGGCTCTATGTGTCAGGCTCTGCAGTGAAACCCTAATGGGGGACGATGATTCGAGAAAGTGTAGTAAAGTAAGTGTAGAACTTGAGCACTGGATACTGCATCACTGTGCGTTAAATAAACTTATATAATAAAGATTAAATGAAAGCTTATAAGCAATCATGGATCCAGATAAAAAGGACTACAGAGAACAGACTGTAATGGCATTGTACTGTGAAGTCCTGCGTTTCGTTCGGAACTCAAGGGGATAATAATGTGATACAGGCATTTTCTATGTTGGAAGAATTCCCTACATTAAGTCTGTTCAAAATCTCAGTGATCAGAAAAGGTCAAACGTTTAGTTTGTATCGCTATCACAATATTCACGGTAAACTCCGAAAAATATTGTCTCATTAAGTCTCCCCCTACCAAAATGCATATTTTTTCTGCAGCACAGTTGTTTTAAGACTGTGATAGGATATGAGTGATTTTATGAAAGTAACTGGACTATTGGTCGAGTGAAAACTAATAGTGACAGTTGTTCTGTTTACTAAAAATTTATGATAAATTTTTTCTATCATCCACGCATGCGATATCATCGTGCAATTTCTTTTTATTTTAGAACACAGCTCACGTTTTCTTTGTTATCTTTACTTTTCTACCCTAGGAGCGTTTTGAATAAAAAGCAACAATGATTATTGTAATCATGGGACCATGCGGTTGTGGCAAATCAACGGTAGGCAGTGCACTGTCTAGTCATATTAACTGGCCGTTCATAGAAGGTGATGATTATCATCCTGAAAGTAATCGAAAAAAGATGTCTGCGGGAGTTCCGCTGACCGATGAAGACAGGATCCCTTGGCTTCAATATTTAAGAAGTGAGTTTTCAAAGTATGAAAATGCTGTAGTGACGTGCAGTGCTTTGAAACGTTCTTATCGTAATATCTTATCATACGATAACGTCAACAACAGTAAGAACAGGAGAATACTATTCATTTTATTACTGGCAGACAAGGAATTGCTAGAACATCGCATAAAAGAACGCAAAGGTCACTTTATGCACCCATCACTTATTCAAAGTCAACTTGAAATATTAGAACCATTCGAAGGAGAAGAAAATCTCATCATAAATGCGACTGAATCTATCGGCTGCATTGTCGATAAGATATTGAAAGCAATATCTCTACGGCCAACAGATTAGTTTAACCACATAACAACAAACGAAAAACCGGATATGAGTACTTTTCGTCAAAGTCGAAGAAAAAGGAACATTCCGAGTGTTACACTGAGCGGAAGCAGGTGTGCATAAATCAATTGATGTTGTGCGGATTTTTAAATATTCTTACATTCATGCGTTTAATGTTTTCTTGAAACAGTTGGTCATTCAGGCTTGTATATTTTTTTACCCATTAGTATACAAGTGTTGGAGTGATTAATTGTTGTTCCCGTTTAACTAAAATGTCTAATTGTACTTTTGTCAATACATCTCTGGATTTGCTTGACATGTCATATACTGTATGTCGATTATTGTAATAATACAATACTAGTACTTTCCTTCTTGGTCTTGTGTGATCCTGCCTAAAGGAATATATATACGCAGCTATTAAAAATGGAAGATATGAAAGAGGTAGCTGCATTTGACTACGGATGTTTACGTTGTGTTTCCCATATTAAGTGGTATAATGTGGTGAGGAATGTTGAGGCTTAGCATAGTGCTAGGTAAGGAAGAGAAGTCAACCGATGAGCTTGTGAAGCCACACACCTGGAGTCACCTCATTCCTCAAAATAAGCTCACACAAACCTCTCCTAACCATCATCCATCTCTACGAACATTACGCCATCTGTACATAGCTGAAGCATTAGCCATTCGAGATCTGAAACCGGACCTGTGCATACAAAAGCGATACATACATTCTCTAACCCTACCATGACCAGAGTAAAGTTCTTACCACAAATTTGCTTCTTTCCTTTAATATGTGAGTTCACTATTATTATTGTTCTTAATACTTTTACTGTCATTATAATCCTCATCATCCACATATTATTACCGCTCTATTACTGTTTATTAATAACATTGCTTTTTCATACAGATTTTATACAAAAACACTTTATGGTCTTTCCATTAGTTTCTGTCCATTCTACACGAGCTTATTGCTTAGTCATTATCTCACACTTGCTAAGACATGCCAACTCTGTATCCTTTCTAACTTACAATTAGTCATCTCTTCTTACACCTTACATTATGTAGTACAATTTTCAAGGACAAGGTTTACCAGTATCTGATTGATTTAAAGATTCCTGTGTTAATTATAATTACGATTGTACAGCTCATGAAAATGAATCGTCCAAAAGAAAATTTTCTTCGCTGTTTGTGCCTTTTCTTATGACTCAATATGGAAATATTTCGTTCATTTTATTATTTATTGATATTAATTTACTCCAGGTGATTAATATGCTCTAGTAAAAGTTTATGTTGTGCAATCTCTCATTTAAAACCGGAATAAGTAAACCGATTGCAAACAGGGTGGCGTGGGGAGGTCCAAGTTCAGCAACAAGTAGTTAACTTCTCAAGTAGATTACATGGTACGTTTCTTTTCTGATTATTTATGTTTTTGACTGACAGAATTCACAGCCTACACCAACACTAAGATAAAGGACCAGATGCATGACACTGATTACGTCCTAGTGACCAGTCAATGTATGCATTACATTCTTGAACTCGAATAGCTTACACATTATCAACGTGTGTGATTGCAGTACTAGGTGACGTGGATCCGAATCCCGGAGGGAACATGAGTTTCTTCAAGGGTGCACACATGCCTTACTGGCTAGTCAAAACAAGCACGAAACCTAAGTCTAAACAGCGCTTTCTAACAATTGCCTCCAATCATCTGACATAGATAATAAATGCGGAATCCACATAAGTCACCACTACCATTCTCCGTGTACATATAAATTCAATAATGAAAAACAAAAAAAGAGAAGTGTAGAGAGACATGTATACATAATTTGTTAATAATCACTGAGTTGATTCTTCGCCAGTTACCTCTTTTTCATCTTCTGAATCACTGTTCAGTCGATCAACTAGTTGATCAAGTTTGCGCATAGTTTCTTCAACATCTTAAATTTTGAAGAAGAAGAACATTAGGCAAACTGTCACAACAACAAAATAAACAACTTACCAATATGTTTCGCTAATGAAGGTACTATTGGCTTTTTCACATTCGGTATGATACTTGGTGATTTCAGCATACTGTCGTGACACTGATACGACTCTGGATAAAATGAGTGAAGTGCATTCTCTAAAATTTCGATTTTCGACTTATAACTTCTTTCCATGTCACTAATCTGTGTATATATAACATTTAACGAGAAAACCAAAATCAGATTGACACAATAAAAGATGGATGGTAATATCGTTTTATATTACATCATCATTTTGACATCTCTCCCTTTATCATTTGTAATCATACGCTTTGAGTAAAACCTCGTGTGTTCACGATGAAGCGATTAGTTAGGAACTGCTCACATCAGGTATTAATGGTTGCTACCCAGATCAAGGTGATCCGAACACTGAAGGACTGAGTCGCTTGATGACCGGATCTCATTAGTGATACACGGCTCAAAGCGCAACACACACAGTAAGTGGTGGGTATGTAACTTTCAACTGCTATGACAGTATACCATGTAGGGGGGTCGGTGGTTCAGTGGTAGGATGTTCGCTAGCCACGCACATCGTTCGAGTTCTATTCCTAAACCTCGCCTAGCCGGTAGTAAGCCCGGTAGGAGAAAAGATTGGGGGCAAGGCCAGCAAAGCCAGCTCGAAAAAAGCCACTGCTATTGAAGCTTAAGTATGAAACTCTATGTTCCACTTGGAATGAAAAGGGATCAACGCATCACAGCTCCACAGGAAGTGGATAACGCATTAACCTTACCTAGTTTATTAGCCGGTGCGAGTCCCGGAAAAGACGGAAGGTTGGACATGAAGCTACCAACCGCATCCCGTAAAACAGTAATCCATCGATACAAATACTCAAGAGCACAAAATATATGGATTCATTCTTTGCTGGAATCGGGAAGACACCTCAGTTGAAGGTCGAGTGACATCGGTTGGTGAAAACCTCTAGGAAGTCAGTCAGTTGAATCTTCTTGCGATGAAACTAGAAGTAAGCGTAAGCACATAGTATTTCCGTACTGTGTTTTAGGTTAACACGACTATAAACACAATATTCGAACAACTTAGATAATCGCATTCAGAGCTAATTCTACTGCTTATCATGAAAGGATACAAAATAAGGCAATTCAAAAGGTAGGGAAATATGGCAAACATTATTAGAAAAAGGGTCATTAGTATGATGAATTGACAGTGATGGGTCATAAATTTGAACATACACTGTATAATAGAAAACTGTGAGGACTTGTCAATCTATTTCAGTGTCCATATGGATAAAATATGCTCATGGAAACAGTCCACTGTAGAAATCATGGAGAAGATTTACAGCTCAGGCATATAATATTGCTGTAGTTGTATTGCATGAGATGAACAATTTAATTTCGAGGCTGAGTGTTGAAGTGAGTACTGAATATTTTGTCTAGGAAAAGGATTAAAGCCTCTCAATTAAGCCACACTGTTTCAACAATGTCCACTGTGTTAGATTTTATCCGCCAAGTAGTACTGTATGATATTTGTGTGAATGGGTGTCTTATGAAGGGTGAAACTGAATACTATCAAGAGATGCAGAAAAATAAAACTATTCGATTGTCACTACATTTAAGCGACTGGACTGACAGAGTAAACAGTACTAATGAAATTCGACGTCCTTTATGCTTACTGACACAAAAAATTTAATGCGCGTTATTACATTTTACTATCACTTTAGGCGATTTCGTTAACAATAAATTGTAATTGAGGTGGAGGTTATTGGTGTTGCTGAGTTCACTGAGCCGTGCGGCTTGAATGCGCAGCTTTTATTGCCTTTGTAGACAACAGATTTGCAGCACTTACTATACTGTGAAATAACACATTTTTATATTAGTTTGTTTATTAGATGTATCACACAGTGAAAGTATTTTATTTACTGGATAACGTTTCAAACAAAATTTATTGTTCATAATCACATCAACTGCAATCACACGACTTCGAAATTTGAGTTTTATAGTTTTCTTTCTCCTCTCCTATTTGTCGTAGGGATAGTAGAATTTTCCAGATATCTAGGACAGGTGTTAAATCATTCCTATTACAAGTATTTGCAGTTGATTCGATAAACAAAGCTTCTGTTATCAATCTCTCCCTATACCCTTTGACATTAGATATTAAAACTGTCATCCTATTGTATGGTTGTGTGTAACTGCATGTAGTGAGTGCTATAGCTGAACTATTTTCTAGATTTCTTATCTTATTTGGGTCAACCAATTTAGATTTTGCTAGGTTTTCATGTTTGACCTATGTATTTGACCTGGCAATCATTGCAAGCAGGGTATTAGATAAACTAAATTGTTTTGTTTTAATGGCTCCACAGGATTCTTTAACCGACAAAGCTTGCTTCTAATTGAGTTTGTAAGTTTGAATGCCACTTTTATTCCTGCCCTGTTAAGAATTCTGCGTAAGGTCTCCGAGGTTCCTACTTTGTATGGATGTACTATTGATGATTTAGATTCCTTATTGTTGGTGTTGTTATTGTCCTGCGCATGTTTGACGTGCATATCGTCATAAACACTATTATTATTTATTTTATTTTTCCATTTCCCTACATACTTCCTCATGAATTTATCAGGGTAATTATTAACTAATTTTCAAAGCTTCTCTCATACGCCTCACTTCCTGTCTTAGATTTTCCTTGCTACTATTTAGATTTTGTGCTCCATTACTGAAAGATTTCACCAGTCTTACTGACATAGGGTGGGATGATCGGATATCCAAATATCTGTTTAAATGTGCGGGTTTCCTGTAAACACCAGTGTTTAACTTCCCATTTTCTTTCCTTTTTACGTTGCAATCTACCATTGGAAGCTCCCGTTCCTGACTTTCCAATTCATAACTGAATTGGATTGCCTCTAACTTCGAGTTCATGCGTTCGAAAAATCTATCCATATCTTGCGGTCTAAGTACAGTGAATGTGTCATCTACATACCTCCACCATACTTTTGGGGTGGCGGAGAACGTTTCAATCACTATGTTTTCCCACCTAACCATGAATATATCTGCTACAACCGGGGATATTGGTGATCCCATGGCAACTACCTCAGTTTGTTTGAATATTTTCCTTTGGAATTTAAATACTGTGGAAGTTAGGCATAGCTGTACTCCCAGCATTGTCCTCAAGTGGTACTTCTGTCCTAAGTTCGAGTTCTTGGTCAGAAATGAGTTCGTTTCTGACTGCCTCTATAGCTATATTTATTGGTATATGTGTATATAAACTGACAATGTCAAAACTAACCATTTTTTCTTCATTATCTAATTTTAAATTATCTAATCTGTGTTTTAGTTCATAAGAATTAGTTAGTCTAGATTTCGAGTGGATTTTTAGGGGATTTAATACCATGGCTAAATATTTAGATAATTCTTAAGTAGGTGAATTCCTAAAATCAACTATAGGCCTAATAGGGTATCCTGATTTATGAACTTTAACAAGACCATACATCCTACTGGGGTTATTAGTTTTTGGCACTAAATTAAACCACTTAGACTCACCTAGAAATGGCTTCATTCGGCGTATAAGGTCCGCTGTGGATTTCTTAACTTTATTCATAACTGTGTCTATTGATTTATTAATTTCCTCATATGGTCCTGTTTGTATGTGAGTATTTACCTTGTCCAAATAGTCTGATTTGTTCAATACTTCTGTTGCATTTCCTTTGTCTGACTTTGTGATTACTATATCCTTGTTATTCTTAAGGTGTTTCAGGGCTTCTATCTCTGGCTTTGTCAGGTTAGGCTTTCCACGTTTTTGTCGTTTTAACGTAAGTGCACATTGTGCCTGTACTTCGTCAGCCGTTGTTTTGTCTATCCCACTTGGTTCTATTTCTATTTCAGGGATGACATCCTCAGGTTTCAGTTTGTCTACTGATACATTGAAATTTAGTCCCTTTTCTAATACACTTATTTCTGTAGGAATTAATATATGTGTTGAGAGATTGATAACCCCCTTTGTTTTATTGATCGCCGTTGACTTTGGATTGTTGACTTCATCATTTTGAGATGAAGATTTATGCTCTAATAATTTGTTGAACTTTTTGATTTGACTATTGACAAGCGTCGGTGGCACAGTGGTTAGGACGCTCGCCAACCATGGACATGGTCCGGGGTTCGATCCCCTGTCGACGTACACCCGATATCGAATGGTCGGCCTGCAAAATTTGGGCTACCGATATCACATGCTGAAACTTTTATACCTGCACCAAAAGTACTGTGTGGTTTCAAGCTTTTATTATTGTTATTTTAACTTTTTGAAAGTTGCTGATTTTGCATTGCTGGAGGACTGTGCTATAAGATCATAATCTAAATTCGTAACTATTCCCTTTAGCTTTAGTTTTAATTGCTCAATTTCACATCTGATATGTTGTAACTTTTTAACGATTCTGTGGATCTCTTCTTTCAGGCATAATTTTTGTAGGCTTTCTATTCTGCTTCAATAAAGAAGCACAAGATATTTGCAGTTTACTTACCAGTAACTTTCTGTGGTTGATTTCTCGATCAATACGACGTTCAGCATGACGTAAAGCAGTTGATGCCTGTGACAGTTTCATTTTCACTTCGTTTAGTTGCCCTTTTAATTGTGTACTTTCATCTCTGTAATTTTGTTTAGTATTAGCATGTGCCATTTTCTCATTTTCTAACTGTTCTAAGCATTCCTTTAATTTCTGCATAAAAAACGATAAAGAAAATTTAGAAAAAAGGAACGCGATCATTTACTTATTATATCATAGATTATGAAGTGACAGTATAAGTTATCAGTGCGTAAAACTACATACTACTGACTGATTACAATGAGTAGTTGAAACGACTCACATCAACCGGCAGTGCTTGCTAGGCAGATTGAAGTGATCGTAACCCCAGATAGCTGTTTCGCTCCCTTGGGACCAAGTTCATCAGCAGTGTACCCGTTGTGACTCAGATTAGAGAACCGAATCACCTGAAACCATCCAATTTCGAAATCAAATTCGAGATTTGCAAATTAATTTGTGACACACAGTTTACACAGCTCCAGTTGAAACTATTCGGCACTACTGGCAGACGCTGGTGGTGTCCAACTACTCATGTCAACCAGTCAGTAGAAAATGGCTTCAAATAATTATAGCTGAAGGCTTTGATGCTCCATCCCTTATAATTGGGTCGGTAGTCGTTCAAAGGACTTTCAGACAAAATGTGCTGCACACCATCATAAGGGCCAGCAGACTGACAATGTAGGGGAGGAAAATTGGTGGGGGGGGGGTAGTGGAAAATCACCAAATGTGAGTGGTATGCAACTACTCACCTCAAACAGTCAGCAGTATATCATTTTACACAATCACAGTTGTTATCTTGATTACCATTTAGGGTATCAAGCCTATGAAATATTGTGATCTCAGTAATTTCGGTTTGCAAAGGAAAGTGCAGTAAAATTTCAGCTCCTCGAACTGTTTAAATTGTTAATTAATTTCTACATTATGAATTTGACATATAAATTATCTAGAACAACGCATTTAAGCGAACAATACTGTTCTCAATTAGATCTTATCAGGCCTAACTCTAATATATATAAGTTTACAAATAAATATTCAAATACAAATCAATCATGGTGTTCTGTCTATAGGATAAGATTGTGCATATAAATTGTGTGAGGAGTCATAATAGTGGTAATGATAATAATGGTTCTATCAATAGTAATAATAATAATGAAAAAGTTAGGCGATCTGTGATAACAAGAAAAACAGCAAACAAATGTTCAGGTGGAAGTAGTCGATATAGGCTAGTAAAAACAAGTGGACTGTTTAAGTAATGTTAGATTGTAAGGGAAGGAAATAAAATATGTTTTAATGATGTGATGAGATTAAGGTATGATAAGAGAGGGGTTGAAAATAGTAAGGGGTGGTGTAGAAGTCATTAGTTGGTCAGGTCTTAATAGGCCAAGCGAGAGACAATGGCTATACGAACTCCTTTTGAATGCATTGTTTATGCTTAATAGTTCGAATGCCTTTGGCCTCAGCTATGTGCAGTAGTCCGTTTTTCTTTACTCTTGTTATTACAGATCGCCTAACTTTTTCATCCTTATTATTGACAAAACCACTGTTATTATATTATCATTACTACTATTATGACTAATTGCACAATTTATATGCACAATCTTATTATTGTATGAATATTTATTTGTAAAGTAATGTATATTAAAGCTAAGCCTGATAAGATCTAATTGAGAACAGTATTGTTCGCTTAAATGTGTTGTTCTAAATTTCACTATAGGAATACAAATTACCGCTGGAAGAAACTTGCCGAGGGCTTTTGTCTCAATATACTTTAATAGATAGAACGGAGGTCATCGGGTCTCGATTTTAGTTTCCTTAGGTGTCGTGCATGGTTTCATGTGAATTTGTATTACGTGAGCTAAGAGGAGTTCCATATTCATATCAGACATAATGTTCGCCTGTTTGAATTGCTTTATGAATTTTTTCACACGAATTATATCTGTTGTGACGTTTGCTACATTATGTGCAAAAACGCCTTGCCATGGCTCTTTTATGTTCACTCTAGATTAAGTTTCTTTCTTTTTGATTTAAAGCTGCTTCTGGACATGTTGCCAATCAAACCTGTAACTTAATGCGAATAAACAAATGTTGAAATCACACCATCGTTGTTTATTTTGTTATTGTTAACATTGTTTGCCACCATGTTACATCCTTCTGTCTAGCATATACCATTTAAATTATATATATATATATATATATATATATATATATATAATATTTATCTGTAGTAGTATTCATTTTGTGTTTAATAATACTAACTGATTGATTACACTCACCTCTTGAAACTTATACTTCTATGTTGGTGACAAGTACACAAACACAATGGTTTTATAGCCTACTCTAATAACAACACTAATTGCAGCGAAGCGCTCTGCTGCTATGTACACGTAAAGACAAATAATGCATTATTTGGATATATGAAATTAGATTGTTTTATTAAATCTTTATAAGGCATTTGTTTCGACAATTTTAGACTTCTCGATAGTCTGTGACAGTCATATCAATGACTCAAAGTTAAATAGATAAAAATTGCATTTTTCATGATTTTATGCTACACTATATGCAGCCTATTGCAACAAAAGTGTTGTGTTTTTATTCGTGTCCTAGTGGCGAACATTCAAACTGGAGTATTCTTTTATAACGACAGAAGACAAGGGCCAGGCAACAGATCGTTTATTGAGAAAATAAGGCGGCCTGCTTAAATCATTGGGCTACCGAAATTACTTTCTTCCAAAATGCTTAATTTCATCTGGATTTATCATTGTTTTAATCGTCCAGTTATATCAAATGACCTATACATAAACTTGCGTGATGATTTAACTTGCTCCTAAGTAAACGGTGTACAATTCTTCAACGAAATGAAAATATACTTCAGATTATTACTTTACATGTGAATCCTGTGTGAAGAAAAAAGTACTTTGGAACTGAATACGCTGAAAATGTTTGTACCGTATATTTGCATACTGTCTTAAATAAAGCTTCACCATTATTATTATTAAAAATCAGGAGGTATTTATGGATTTTTATGTACATTATTATCAGCGTTGTTGTTAGCCGAGAAGCAACCTCTTTTGATTGGTTGTTCTCTTGCTGAAGGTTATTCTGTTATCTCTTTGTGGCCGTTTCTTAAAAAATCAAGTCATATATCTGTGAATCATATTTCCACACGTTAACTCCGCTGTGATTGGCTGGTGATTTCCTCAAGGTTAAGCTTTGTTATTGTTTTTCTTATGACTCTGATTCGAGACGTGAACATTGAAGTAAATTGTTGTCTACAATTTCGGCTTGCAGCTAGCTGTCGCTACACTCTAACATAACTACTACTCATGTTCATATTGTCTATGTAATTTCTGTGGATTTAAACGATAATCAGAACTCACTGACTGTTATTATTCCACTTTGTACCTGTACCATACAATCTAATTTCTGATATAATTCTAATTTTACCTTTACTAGCACTATTGTAAGCTAAAGTTAATAGATACATACATTTATAATGGTACAGGCTGAAGAAGAATTAATTGAAAAGTCTGATTATTCGCTTTAATCATTTTTTGTTTCGAATAAACTGTAATTAAGTTTACTGTATATAAGCTGAGATTTTGTAAACTCTGGTTTACTGTTTACGTTTATATAGTTACTATTAGCATTAAACAGCGAAACGTCATTTATTAGGAAATACAAACTATTTTTCTAATAATAATGAATATCAACAAGCACGAAACCTAGATCCAAAGGGCTCCCTGCCGATTGCCTCCAGCCATCTAATAACAACAATTCTGAGTGTACCGTGATAACTCGCCACCTAGCATGGTAGCCACATTGCAAACTTGACTGATCGAATTCAGTCTGCAGGAAACAAAGGACTAAACACATGAAATTATTTAGTTTTCAATCAAAAGTATATATATTAGTACTATGTTAACTCGGTATAATGAAGCGTCAAACAAAACAGTAATAATGATTACAATATTTAAGATACACGTGACCAATCCAAGATCTAAAAAGAAATTTAATCATCTGTGTTCTAAATTGTACGCTGAACTGTCCACTGGCGATTTTAGGATACAAAGTTACACTATGGAAGGACTGCCAAACACACTGACTTCAAATTATGCTCGATAACATCAGCCTTGCCGTTAAATGGCATATACTATCCTAACTTCCTTTAAGCATGTAATTTTGTTGAAGAGAAGTACCAGTGGAGTCCGGGGAAACGCATTTCGTCTTGCATCATCGGTGAGTGAGACTCGAACTCAGCATCCATCGTTTCACACATTGATCACTAGGGTATTAGTAAGCCATAATAGCTACCTTTTATACAAAGAGTATGAGTTGTTATTTACTGAAGCTGCTTTTTTCTTTCAATTTCCCATTTGACTGATTATATATCTGTTTGAAATGCTTGCGCTTCCTGGTTTCTACTGTTAGCCGGCACTAATTAAACAACACTATATTAAACCCACGGTATCATTGTCAATAAAGACTGAGTATTTTGTTTCGATAGGAATCAATCAGAGCGGAAATTTAGAATGATTTCAGCAAATAAGAACCCAACCATTTGTATCCCGCTCCGTATTCATCGATATCCTGTCACAATAAATTTACTTGTCTTCATTGTTAACCGAGAGTGCAAAGGAGTTTTAATGTAAAAGTAATTTACATTTCTGAAGTACATAGTAAAGTGTATAGAGAAATCCTGCACGTCCTGCATTACGTGTGTACATTCGACAGTCTACTGAAATCAAAATATAAATATAACATAATTAATTATCCGGATTGTGGAGATTTGATCGGTTCTAAGCTATATTTCGTCAGAAATCAATATCGGTTAAAAATCTGGGGAACCCTGGAAATCTGTGTCATTTGAGACTCTGAAGCAGACCTCATCAGAGGTTGAAACCAAAAGTACGTTACCGATCAGGCAGTAGGTTGGAATTCACTGACTTTTAAATCATAACTTCTCACAATTTGCGAAATGGCATCACCACGATATATCCTCAAGCTTGATTCGATAAATCTCCTAATGTTCATAAGTGGCTAGCTGTGTAATAAGTTTTCCGTAGTTCTAATGAGACTTTATAAAAATAGAATGTAGTCCATATGATATTGGGTGTGAATCTTGCCTACATAAGATCACAAGTTTGCAGGAAAAATATTCCACTAACTTTTTGTTCCTCTTGTAGAGATATATTTAGTTTTCTGTTCTCTTCTTGAAGATTAAACAGTTCTTGTTCAACTGAGAATGAATAAAAATAGATATAATAAAATACAATTATTATAAATGATTGATTAATTTATTTATTATATTATTATTGTATCCTTTAGTTCCTAGAGGAACATAGGGCTTCAGCTGCGCACCTCCATTGACTTCGGTTTTCTGACAACTTTTTCACCTGCTCCAGGTCTGTCCACATGCTTTCATCTCCTCCTCGCATGACCTCCTCCAAGTCACCCTTGGACGACCAACTCGCCGCCTCCCTTTCGGGTTCCACTCGAGGGCTTGTCTAGTGATGTCACTTGATGGTTTCCTCAGCGTATGGCCAATCCATCTCCATTTCTTTCTGCCTATTTGTTTCACAATCGGTTCCTGATTGGTTCGCTCCCAGAGATCCCTGTTGCTGATCTTTTCTGGCCATCTGATCTTGAGTATTGAGCGGAGACAGTTGTTAATGAAGGTTTGAAGTTTGTTTGAGATGCTCTTTATGACTCGCCAAGTCTCTGATCCGTATAGTAGCACTGACTTCACATTGGAGTTGAAAATCCGGATCTTATTTTTGATGCTGATTGCTGTTGACCTCCACACAGATTTGAGAGTAATGAAAGCTTGTCTTGCTTTTCCGATTCTGGCTTTGATGTCCTCGTCAGTTCCGCCTGTAGTTGAGACGATGCTTCCCAGGTAGGTGAAGGAGGTTGTTTCTTTCAGGTTCTTCCCATTTATGCTTATTGTGGTCTGTTGGTGTTGTTGATGTTGGCTAGGAATCTTCATCATCTCTGTTTTATCTATGTTCACGTGAAGTCCTATCTTTGATGCTTCTTCTGCCAACTTGTTACTTTTCACTTGCATATCTTCCAGTTTATGGGAAATCAGACATATATCATCGGCGAAATCCAGATCCTCCAAGTCTTTTGTGTCAGTCCATTTTATGCCTGTTCCCTCGTTGGTTGCCGTTGTCTGTCGCATTATCCAATCAATTGCAATCAGGAAGATCATTGGTGATAGTAGACAGCCTTGCCTCACTCCCGTCCTCACTTCGAAGGCTTCCGTAAGTTTCCCGTTGTGGATTACTTGGCATGCAGCATTGTCGTATAACTGTTGGATGAGGTGTATAATTGTCGATGGGACCCCGTAGTAGCGAAGTAGTTTCCAAATGACCTCTCGATCGACGCTGTCGAAGGCCTTTTCAAAGTCGATGAAGTTGAGATAGAGAGGTGACTGCCATTCCAAGCTTTGTTCAATGATGATCCGTAGAGTGGCGATTTGATCAATACATGATTTGTTTCTCCTGAATCCAGCCTGTTCCGGACGAAGTTTTTCATCTAGGGCTTGTTTGATTCTCTCCAGGATGATGCGACTTAGTATCTTGCTTGGAATGGACAGAAGCATAATTCCACGCCAGTTTTTACATTGACTTAAGTCTCCTTTCTTTGGAAGTTTGAATAAGTAACTGTTCTTCCAATCCTCGGGTACTTTGCCCTCTTTCCACACCTTCTCCAGCAGTGGTGTCATCAAGTCCGCTGTTGTCTCTGGGTCTATTTTCAAAGCCTCTGCTGGGATTCCATCTGGTCCCGGTGTTTTCCCAGCTTTAAGCATCTTGATTGCATTCAGGACTTCTGATTTCGTCGGGGGGTCAGTGTTCACTGGTAGTTCTGCTTCCGTTGTTGGTATTGCTGGACGTGTTGTAGGTGGCGGACGATTTAGAAGTCTTTTGAAGTGTTCAACCCAGTGCTTTCTCTGTTCCACCTCTTTGGTGATTGACTTTCCATTGTCGTCCTTTATTGGCTTAATCTGTGTCGAACGTTTGCCCGAAAGGTTCCTAGTTGTTTGGTAGAGTGTGGCGAGGTCTCCTTTGCCTGCAGCTTGTTCTGCTTCGTTTGCCATGGTTTCATAATATTTTCTTTTGTCTTCCCTGGCACTTTTCTTCACTCTTTTGTTCAGTGTATTGTAGCTTGCATTCAGCTCCTGTTTTTGTTGCTCGTCAGTGCACTGGATAATCTTTTGCTTCACTGTCCTTCTCTCTTCTATTAGTTTCCAAGTGTCCGTAGTGAGCCACTGTTTGTCCTGTCTCTTTTTTCTGCCTAGAATTTCTATGCAGGTTTGGCTCCACACCGTTTTCAAGTTGTTCCAGTGCTTTTCAACGCCGACCTCTTCGCTAGTGTTGATTTGTGTCTCGGCTTTGTCCTTTATGCTTGCAATGAAGATGTCCTTTGTAGCCTGGTCCTTCAGCTTTTGAGTGTTGAACTTGGCTTGTGGTCTATCTGCAGCTCCTGATTCCCTGAAAGCTTTTAATTTGATTTGGATTGTCCCTTGTACGAGATAGTGGTCTGAGCCAACGTCTGCTCCTCTTCTTTTGTGTCCAGTAGGCTGCGCCTCCACTTCCTTGAGATTGAGATGAAGTCGATTTGGTTTTTGGTTTGCCCGTCTGGTGACACCCATGTAGCCTTGTGGATATCTTTGTGCTTGTATACACTGCCACCAATCACCAGTTCGTTGAAGGCGCAGAAGTCGGCGAAGAGTTCTCCGTTTTCATTCATTTCTCCTAGAGCTTCTCTACCCATGATGAGTTCCCTTCCCGTATTGTCTGGTCCCAGTTTGGCGTTCATGTCTCCCATTAGTATTTTCATGTCGCCAGCTGGAGTATTGTCCATTGTTGCCTGTAGTTGCCTGTAGAATTCTTCTTTCTTCTCGAGGTCTGCGTTGTTTGTGGGTGCATAACATTGTATGATTGACACTTTCCTTCCTTTGGAGTTGAACCTGGCGGTCATTATCCTGGACGAAATCGCCTCCCATTGTATCAGGGCTTTCGTTGCCGTTGGTGACATCATGATAGCCACGCCCTCGGTGTGCGTGTGGTTATCTTCTGGGTGACCGGAGTAGATCACTGACTCACCTGTTGACAATTTGGTGAGTCCACTCCCATTCCATCTGCTCTCACATATTCCCAGCACTTGTATTCCGTATCTTTTCATCTCGTTGGCGATCTGGGCAGCTTTCCAGTCTCGTACATAGTTCGGACGTTCCATGTTCCTACACAGACTTTTTCTTTTGGTGCAAGGAGGTTCAACATACTGAAGTTTCTTTAGCAATTTTTGTTTACAGGGTGGGGTTGCTAGCCTCACGCCTGAGAAAAGAATGATTACATTAAGTAAAAGTTTAGAGAGAAGCAACTTTTTGGGTTGCTCCCCTCAAAATCAGAAAATAACGGACAAACAATGAGAACAACATCAACAAAGGAAACAGTTCACAGAAAAAAGGGCAAAAAGCGACGACAACTATACAATAAGACAACATGCAATATAGTTCAGTACATTTAACTAAAATGATATCTTAACCATGATTAATTTATACTGAACCAAAATGATCGGTCAATTTTAACATGTCAGTGCTTATGACAGAGGCTTCGATGCTGTCTCAAGGGCTAACACGATGTTATTCGGCTAATTGTGCGCATTTCATTTAATAATTAGCAACTAACCAGCTGGATGCCCTGAACCGGATACCTTTAACTGACGAGTCACAAATAGCAGGAAATGCAAATCCTGTATTCAACTGCTAGTCATCATCAACCCAATGATAATAAAAATAATTGTTTGTTCATTAAAGCGAATCAACTGGAAAAAAGTATAATATCAACACTCAGAGTACATCTTTGATTAAGTTAAAATAAATTCACTTCTGATAATACTAGGCAATTACATAAAAAGATTTTTATTAAAAGCTAACAGCTTTAAATGATTCTGTGTACAACTAGGCTATGAGTTGAATGTAGTGTAATAAGGGTTATCAAGTGTAATGGAACTTTACAATTAGGTTATGAGAATTTATGTACCGAAACTCTATATTAGGTTTTATTTGTTTGATAATATCGATGAACAAGAATAACACAATGAGATCAATGCTTTCTACGAAGCAAAGTAGCCAAGATTTTCCATAAGCACTGACTACTTTTAAAGGCTTGACTGATTTCGAATGAATGCTGCGTATTAATCAGAAGCTTAACGATTGCACTTGCAAACACTTTCTTAATTTCATAAGATGATTACTGAGAATTTGTCCAGAAAATTTATTAGGTGCTGTCCTCTTAGTGTATATGAATTAGCAGATGACGAAGACCCGCAGAGTAAAAAACAAGAACTCTTTTTAAGCTGTAAATATGTTCAAGCTAATCAAAAGAACTGGTTGTATGAAATATTTCTACATAGATTTTGTATGTTCAACCAACACTAGAACGCATGCATGAACTGAATATAACACAACAACGTACAAAATGATGTGGCTGCTTCACAGTATGTGTACCTTTAGTTTAACCAGGAAACTTAACCTTATAAGTTTAAACAACAACCATGAATAACGATGGGCTACTAAGGTGAAAGAAATGTGTAATATACGCTAACTATATACGCTTATGTAAAGTGTAAACACGGATGCTCAGAATCTGAGATTTCAGTAGCATGCCCCAATCTGAGAGTAGTGGAACATGATGTTGTAATTCTAGAGGTGTTTGAAGATAAACTATTTAGCGGACGAACTAAAGTATTAGCTAGGGATTCGCTGATAGTTTCAATGCACTGGACGTACTTCGTTAATCATTCCTGTTTCGAAGAAGGAAGATCAATCTCCCTGTGAAAATTACAGGAAGCTCACAGCTTGACTAACATAGTGTTTATGATTCTAAATCTCATGGTCCTGAGAAGACTAAGTAGGGCTCCGGAAAAAATCCAGGGGAACCAGGTAGACTTTTAGTGCGGATAAGGGTGTATCGATTATATATTCACATTTCGATAAGTCCTAGGACAAGGCATACCATCTATAAGCATCCAACCTTTTGACAGTTGGTGTAAGCCACATAAGGTGCGGTCTGCCTGACAGAGTTCCTCAAGATGCTAGAATTAATGGTTTGAAACTGTTGGTGACACGGTTCAAAATTGTTCCAATGATGCAGATGTGATCTTTGAGATTCTGATAATTCTCACTAATTTCCGTCAAATTATTCAATCTCTCGAACGTGCTCATTTATTGTAATTTCAATGCATTTCCTTCCATTACTTGTGTGTCCTTTTCCAGAGCGTGAACCTAAACTGTCGCGTCTTCTGTTCAAAAATCTTATGCTCATTTAAATTCAGGTAATCAAAATCTAGTCGTAGGCAGTGTTACTATTCTTAGGTTAAAGATTCATTGTTTATTCTCAGGATTTATTTATTCATATCAGGATGAACTCCCATAAGTAAAGCTTAAAAAAGGAGTACTATTCACTGCAAAAAAGTAAAAAGACAAACCTGCTTTCTCAGAATCGTGAACACGTCGATCATATGACTGGACATACTCTGATAACTGTTCTAATGCTTGATCACGTTCTTTAATAGCTTGACGCATATCATTTTGGGCTTCAGAAATAATTCTGTTTCAACAAAATTAAACAAGTCAAAAAGGCTAAATATCATCAAGTCAACACTGTTTTATAAGTTTATAAAAATGAACTAAATGTGAACAAAATCTCTGAAAGGATTACAGTGAAGTATTTGATCAAAATGCCTACCATCAGGAAGACGGTTGGTTGATGCAAAGAAAAAGGTTGTAACAAATAATATTCGGTAAGTTGCATAGACTACTTTGGTTGCTGACGAAAGATCAATAAGAACACAATAGCCTACTTGGACATTTACGAATACATGTCGTCTTTGCTACCGGGGAGATATCTAGAGGCTGATTACTCAGCAGTTCACTCTGTCCTACCTCGTGGTAGTAAGACAGCCATTGGAAATATGAAACAGAAAAGATAAAAAGGCTTTCGGAAGTAGTTATTTTTCTAGCTTTGCTAATATAATGCAGAATCATATATAAAATAAAGTAGTTAAAATCAGAGTTTTAAAGCAAACGAATCGCTGAGGTTATGAATCTCCACCAAAATGCGTTATGCATCCAGTAATGTTAGTCAAAGTAGGATTATTCTGGGAACTTCGAAACCACACCTTAAGTCCTTCATATATCAGAGGAGCTGTGGCTCATTGGTTTAGGCTTTGGACTACCGGTAGTTGCATCATGGGTTCAAACGTCTCTTTTACATATGATTTTTACGTACACGCCAGAATCATACGGCCTGCCCAAAGTACATAAACCGTGGGTACCGTTAAGACCAATGCTTGATATGCGAAATTTGCCCTACCATGCTTTAGGTAAATGGTTAGTGACTATTCTCAAACCTTTACATGAACAGATAGTGAAACATAGAGTCAAAGGTGCATTTGAATTAGTAGACAGACAAAGCTATAAATATCAGGGATAAAACTATGATATCTTTGGACATAACATCTTTATTCACAAACGTACCTCTACTAGTAACGCCTAACTACATATGTGAACAAGTCGATAAATGTTGTCATTGCAGCACAAATCCTAAAAGAACTACTATTAAGGTGTACCATGGATGTAAATTTAACGGCACAGTTAACAGACAAATGGAAGGAGTGCCGTTGGACCCGCCCATTGGGTCTCATGTTTGCAAATTTCTTTCTAAGCAAACTAGAAAATGGTCCTTTGAACAACATCATCAGAAAATTCTCATTTTATTGCCGATGTGTGGATGATACCTTCATTCTTTGTGAAAATGATTTGGACAAGAACGCAATAATAACTCAGTTCTATGAAGTACATTCAACTATCAAATTCACGTGTGAAGAGGAATCCCGAAATAAAATCGCTTTCCTAGACGTCCTTCTTACAAGAAAACCAGATGGTAGTATAAACAATAATAACAACAATATCCTTATGATACACAATATACACAATTTTCAGTGTAGTTTATTGCATAATATTTACTCTTCATCCAGGAGTTTCAAGTAAAACAGCCATTCCCAGTGCATCATATGACGTAGTAATGATGGATCTGAAGGAAAAAAATAATCAACTACGGTATTTTTTCTTTGGCCCCACAGCAATGCTCAACGATAGGCTGCAAATCAATTAAAAATGTGCACGAGTACATTTGGAGACCTATGGATATAGTTGAATGATTATAACAACAAGAACTAAAGGAAATGAGATGTATTGCCTCCGATGAAAATCCAGGTAGCCAAGACCACATACCCAAACAAGCCATCAATTTACATCAGAAAAGTACATGGACAGTACAACATACAAATTTCCATAGCTTTGTTCTTCTCTAGTACAAGAGAAACTTAATAAGATCCCTCAGCTATAAGGTCAGAGCTATATGCCCAGGAGACATAATTGAAGATGATCCTAGGATCGCACATGACAACCTAATTGAAAATAGCTATCCAGGAAAGTTAATCAAGAAAGCAGAAAAGGACTATTCGCCATTTGTAAATAAGAAGCCTTTATATATACGACTGCAGTACAAGGGTGACGCAACTAGTGAAATAATCAGTAACAAGTTGGGAAAACCTGTACAAAGTTTTTCTAATGCTGGTAAACTAGAAGTCAGATTTCCTACACGACCGGTTATGACTCTTCAGTTGAAAGACGAAGTACCTAGACTGGCTATTTCTTCTTGTATCTAACATCTCAATTGAGCTTGTGAAGCGAGCTATATTGGCCACTGTTCTAGGAACTTGATTTTTCGTGATCAGGAACACCTACTAGTGTGGCTAAATAAAGGTGTAGTAAAAACCATCAACAGTTCGATATTAGACCATCTGGTCCAAACCGACCACAAAGCCAGCATTGATAGATCCTTCTCCATCATCTATCGGGTACCAAATAAACTGCTAAGAGCATCTAGGTACCGAATACTAAAAAACAGCAGAGGCTATTGCGATTCGCCTGTGTACAGAAGAAACAGGTCTAACCACTATTACTGTCCTGACCTGCTTTGGAGTTTGCAAATTCATAGATACCTCATTAAATCAGCCTTTATGATTATGGCCTTCCGTCCTGTACATATAAATTCTTCTACACCTTATCATTACACTTGCATTAACTGACCTTTTATTTTCTCATTTAAACGTAGTGGTGAACTTACTGACATGCATACAACACTCACAAAATGCAATCCCAAAAATCTTTTTACTCTAACCCCGACCATGACATGATCACTCATCTATATGACGTTTATATTCAATACGAATAGAATTTAATATGAACATGACTCATGAGAATTTATCAGTATACATTCGTAATCATTTACTTTGTAGTATTGGGGTTCAATTTAATATTACAATTTTACATATTACCACATACTCATACATTTTGGACTATAATCTATTAACAACCTAATTCCAAATAGCTTTTGGAATTCTGATCTATTACTCTTTAAAAGCCATTAATGTTGTCAATAACAATCATTCTTTCACTATGAATATATAACTGAGGAACGTGATGAGGAAGTTATCGAAAAAAATATTCTTTGTTCAGTGAAATTTTTAATGGGCATCTTTAATCAGTTTTTATATTTGTTCACCCTTTTTTCTTGTCTATTGTTTCAGAGTGTATGACAAAATTACTTTTTCGTCTTATGAAGTAGGCGAAGATTAAGTCAATTTCAGTTACCAGACAAAGTGAATTACATCAACTGACGCGCATTAATAGTTTCAAGAGACTGATTAGTGAACAAAGAATATTTCCCTGATAACTTCTTCATCAGGTCCTAAAGCTACATATGATAGTGATATTTGAAAAACAACTGTTATTGACAATATTAGTGCTTTGAATAACATCGAATCATTATCATCGTCAACAATGGCCTTCGCTAGATACTGAAGATCACATAGCCAGAAAGGATAACCAGCTGGTTATAATAGATCATGATAAAAAATATCAGTGAGTCACAGGACATAATTAGCTGTCATTTGAAATGAGTAATTTCCGCTCAATACATTATGTGAATAAAAAGGGAATTTTGCTTTGCTTTAATAGGACTTACTCGTCTTTCTCCGATTCTGATAAAATATCACCTATCCAACTATTAAAACCACAATTAATCTGTGTTGATTGATCTGTAAAACATTTTAGAGGCAGTGTACTTGATTTCCCATGTAGCAATAACAAGTGAGTACGTAATAAAGGAAGACGAGAATTTGCAAAATCTAAACGCCTTTCCAACTGTCGGAGACGCCGAAACACCGAGCATATAGTTGTTGTTGTAGGCAGCTGAAGTTGTGAGCTTGTAACACTTGTTTCTGGAATGTGCATAAATGTTTGTATAAGTTTTACAATCTGACAGATTTGTTCCTTTGTATTTGAAGTGAATTCCCGGTAGGTTTCATGTGATTTTGTCAAATCTGACTGAGCTCTTGACAACTCCGATCGTAAGTTTTCTAAATCCTTCTCGAGTCCCTGACATAAGACATAAGATGTAAGCATCTTATATTAGTAGTAGACTATAAATAAAGCAAAGTAACGCGGGGTATTGTTTTGTTGATGACATCACCAACCAGAACTTCTACTTTCTGTATTAAGGGGCATAACATGATGAGTAATATTGAAGTTAGGTGTAGATTACTAGGTTAGGAAGGGAAGTCAACCGATGAGGTTATGAAATTAAATCGATTGAGATGGCTACAACATGTCTTGTGTATACCGAGCCGCTGCCTTCCCCGTCAAACAATGTTAGCTGATATTCGGTTAGGCCGGAAAACGGTTAGTGGTACTTCAATCAAAATATGGCATCAACCAATGGATTCTTAGACAGCCTGTTTGAGCCACGTAGGGAGGTGTAGAGTACCTGGTTGGGGATCTCGTAACGCTAAGAATTAATCGCTGGATACTGCTCGGTGATATGACTCAAAATCGTTCAGAATGGTGCAGATGCATTTACTCTTTATGATCACCAATATCCATTAAACACTCATGTTTCTGAATGTTAATATTCTTTTTCGCGTAAGTTTCTGTTCATTATAGTGCCTTTGAATTTCTCTCTTATCTCTACCTTCGTATACTACACGCAGTGTAACAACTTGAACTCCTGAGCTTCTGTTCAAAATTCTATGTTCAAACTCAGTCAATTAATCAGGCCACACAGAACAAACATCACAACATGTATACAAAGGTAAGAACAGAAAGATACTCAACAACTGATATGCAACAGTAATTTGAATAAGAAAATAGCAGGTTTTAAAATACTGAAATTGGTGATCAAAGAATATTCTTTTCGATAAATTCTTCGTTGGGTCTTGCAATTATATGTCTATAATAATTAAGGAATTATAATCATTATTAGAGACACTAATGTTTTAAATAACATTGAATCGGTAAGATCAATAACCAACAAGATAAAAAAGTAGATTCAAAAAACTTTTGATGCTGATAAGCTGCATCTAATATTTTCCACTCTACTGGTTGTGATTCTGATGCTGCAAGACAAAGTACTTAGGCTAGCCACCTCCTTCTTATCAGTCCAACTGCTCAAGCAGAGCCACTTATATTGGCTGTTGATTAAGGAACTTGATTTCTAGTGTTCCGGAACACCTACCATTGCTGCAAAATGCAGGTATAGTAAACAACCATCAACAGTTTGATATGAGATCACTTGATCAAAACAGGCTGAAGAGCCAGTGTTGAAGAATCCTTTTTTATCACCTATCAAGTACTGAAAATATACCAAAGAATTCTAGATAATGTATACTTCAAACAGCAGAGACTATTGCAATTGGTTTATAACAACTGGAGCTTTCCGTACAAAAGATAAAAACACGTTCAGGCACTGTTGCTATTCTAGACTGCTGTGGAACCTCTCACTCACCGAGAAATGCAGGTACATCCAGTTGATGAGTCACAAATAGGACGAAATGTGCGTCCTGGATTCCACTGATAGCCATCATCCACCAATTGTAATCTATTGACATTATTGATTCAGTATTAAATAAAACATTAATGTTTTTGGTGATAGTAATTTTTGAATTATTATGGATATATAGTTGTAGAAGCTGAGGAAGTTGTGGAGGAGAAAAACTCTTTGTCCACTAATCAGTCTTTTGAAATTTTTAATGGGCATCCTTAATCAATATAACTTCTCTTTTAAGTATTAGAAATAGTGATCCTCGTAGGTTCTAATCTTTCTTTTCAGATAAAACATACGAAAATCAGTTATCATGGGTGGCACTTTGCTTTTAACAGCTACGACTGACAATACTTTTAGTTAAAATCCTAGTTATTTCATAACTACTTGCATCCCCACATAGTAGTTGGCAATGAACTACACCTATTGACCAGGGTTGTGTCTAATGATACTTTCTGACTGTTCAGATGTCGGAAGGTTGATCAAGGTTCAGATTTGTTACACGATGGCTGAAAGTCAAGTGTCTAGACCGACAAACCACTTTCGTTGAAATTATCAAACCACAACACTAAGTAGATAAGAAAAAGAAAAGACTAATTAAAACCAAACAGCAAATATTTCAGATTTTTGATTATTTGAGCGATTTTGACTAATTCGTCACAAACCAACAAAGAGACTGAATGATAAGTGGGTCGGCTTCATAATCTGAAGATAATAGGTTTATTTCCAGTGGAGTCATGGGTGCGCACTGCCAAAGATTCATCAACTATGACGAAACAGCTATCCATGGACTCCTTAGTTTCCAGTGTTTCTCTAACTGATATCGATCCATGACGAAATCTACACTGAAAATTTTTTATCGTAAAAGCAATCAAATTAATAATAACTATTACTATTCTACATACCTGTCTTTTATTCCTTTCAATATCCAGTGCAGCATTACTAGCCTTCAGCTTGAATTCATTGGCTTCAAAATTCGCTTTCAATGACTCAACATCTGAAGATAATTTTTCACAATCCCGTTGTGATTTGGCTACAGTGTGCAATTTATCAGTTTTAAGATTTTCTACTTCAATGAGTAAGCGTAAAACGTGTTTACGCCATGCAGAAAGTAATTTCTCGACTTTTTCTGATCTAAATTTACAAAAATAAGAAAATAGAACTAAAACTGTACGGGTGAAAAAATTTCTACAGTTGAGTGACATCAATCAAATTTATACATTACATGATCCTTTATAGAACAGACTTCGTCCTATTTCGGAATCGTCGGAGGTGTCAGCTTCCCCAATGATGGAAACATCATAGCATTATTTACTAAGCCACTGGATCACAAGAGTCATGTCTTGTGCAAAGGGTATCAGTAGTTATTTTTTGAAGTCACTGTGTTACAAGAGAAGACAAGGGCCAGGAAACAGATCGTTTATTAAGGAAATTAACACATATTTATGGATTTTCATGTGTATTATTATAGATTATTGTAAGTAAACAAACACAGTCTTCTGATTGGTTGTTTCTCACTGAAAGCTAATCTTTCATCTCTTTGTGGCTGTTTCTTGAATGTTAGATCATCTATCTGCTAAGTGCATCCGCCTACGCAAAGTCTGTTGTGATTGGTTTTTGAGTCAGTCTTTGATCTTGTTTTCACATAATCAATATTTAGGACATAAACATCGACGTAAATTACTGTCTACCAATTTGGCTAGCAGACAGCTCTCCCCACAACTGTAAATTTTCCGTTGACTGATTTGTGTTGAATTGAAATGCTCAGTCTTTCTTAACATATCCTTAGTTTTTAAACCTCAAACTAATCAAAACGTTCACAATTTTGCAAATAATATAGACTGACGAAAATTACACGACCGTAATAGAATTCGAGCTACGTTACAATCGACTCTTCAACGACTCATTGGTATAATCTTCCGAAGCCAAGTAAGAAAGATCAGTGCTCCCTAAATTTTTTACACTAACAAATTAGACAAGTCAAGCATTGTTGTTTTTTAGTGGTGTAACCAGACTCGGTATTTGGTAGCTTACCTACGTACATCAGTGGACACTAGTCTCTTAGGAAACTGGCAGATAGAATACATAACCCATGCAACGATACACATACAAATATTCAATTGACTGTGGAAGATGAAAATGATGGAAAGTTGCACCTCCTTGAATTCGCCATGCAACGCCTGGAAAATGGTAGTCTCCGGTAATCACTTCACTGAAAGTGGAATGGATAATGCTCATAGTTTAATAGTTTTTGTCCAAATATCTATACACGAGTATTAGTCAACACTCTGTTTTATCGAATCAGGAGAATATGTTCTACAGAAAAATTAACCGAAGAATTCCTGATTCTCGAAAAGATGTTGAAAAACCATGGTTACCCTTAGCGATTCACTCAGAAATAGGGGAGACATGAAGGCTCGAACATCAAACAAATTAGGGTAGGAAAATAGCCTGTCGTCATTCAACTCGATTTTGAAGGTGAAAGTATTGCAGCGATTGTCAACAGACGATTAAGTACATCACTAGCCAGAGCCTAACCTGCAACTATGTTGAATCCCATCTATCGAACAACATGCACATTGGTGTAGTCAAAAGTCGACAGATACTCTTCTCATGTTAAATCCAACTGCGTATACAAATTTACGTGTATCTGCGGGAGCAGCTACACTTGAAAAACAGAAAGAAGGACGCATCTCCGATTTTCTGAACATGTACTGAAATACCTACGTCTCAAGGGAACAAATATTCACAATAGCGCCATTACCAGGCATGTCTTTGATATGACTCATGAGGTGGAAATTGCAAAATCCTTCAAAATTATCAATAGACAAAAGAGCTCAATTCTCCTCAAGTTTGCCGAAGCAATCTCCATCAAACGGCTGAAACCCGATTAATCTGTTCACAAGGAATCAGTTATCAGCATTTCCTTGCCCTTGTAACTAGATGTCTTTATCCTCTCTTCCAATTTGATTACACAATCTTTAGCCTATTCCCCCTTTGATATAATGTAACTTTTCGTGTCCCTTGTTTCTATAATTTGATTCGAACTCACTACATTGTTATTGAATTCATTACTCTTTTATTTTCTATTTCATTTTTTTTATTATAGCTTGAAAACACACCGTATTTTTGGTACAAGTATGGAATTTTCAGCATGTGATATCGGTAGCCCAAATTTCGCAGGCCAACCATAGATATCAGGTGCGCGTGGGCAGGGAGTCGAACCCCGGACCATGTGCATGGTCGGCGAGGGTCCTAACTGCTCATCAGCTTACGAACCTCCTGTCTTTATTGCGTAACTCTTTTCCCAATGTATGAAGACATTTATTTTTGTTTGAACTTGAACTCTCTGGATAAAAACTATAGAAGTGTAGTTTTCTGATCACTGTTTATAAAGTTTGGAGCCTCCTGTCAATTGACGTCATGTAAAATTGTTCTGTACATAATTTTAATAATTTCTTTAGGCTGTATGCAACTGATGAGAAGTGGACGAAATAAATGATGGTACCGCCTCTTTCATAACAAACTATTGTTGTCGCTTTATCCTAATTATTTAGCCAGTGAAGATTCATAACCACGTCAATTCGTTTGCGTTGAAACCCTGATCTTCACTGTGACACTGTTTCGTATACAATTTTGTACCATATGAGCAAAGCTACGATACAATTACGTCCCAAAGCCTTTGATTTCTTCGTAGCTTATACTTTTAGTGATTATCCCATAATAGCTTAAGTAGAACAGAGTGAACTACAAAGTAAGACATATTTCATTTAATTGGTTACTATATACCACAGCGGTAGCAAAGACATACACAAGTAAATGTTCAAGTAGGCTATTGTCTACTGTTGGTATTCCATCCACAATCAACCACTAAATCCAAATATTATATATATATATATATATATATAAGTACTCACTTATTATTATCAGCATTTGACATTTTATTATCACTTTTGCCAAATAACTGTTTCTCTTGAATTTCTAAAACTGTCTGTAAACTGCGTATCGAAATGTTGGCTTGTTCAAGTTCATGATTTAATTGAGAATTCTTATTCTCTAAACATTTCAACTAAAGAAAAAAGATGTAATTCGTTTTTAGGCTAATGTGTAATTCTCATGAATTATTACGTTCAATTGAAATGCTCGGTCTCCGTTGATATGTCGGCTCGTAGAACGGACGTTTCGACGACTTCTAAGGATTAACATGTAGTTATATTGATTGATGGTGACTAAGCAGTGGAATCCAGAGTGTATGTTTTTCCCTACTCGAGACACCTAAGCTGGATGTGCGTGCATCATCAGTGAGTGATGGTGTTTTCACTCAGACTCGAATTGAGTGCCCATGAATTCAGACGTCCAAAAAACCAATTCAGCAGGTGTAAAACTAACCTATAAACAAATAATAACTGATACCCGTCTCACAAGAGGTGGACCTCAAGATGCATTGGATAATGCTCTGCCATTTGAAACGACGGGTGCAGTGTTCGAATGCTAATAGGAAGGCAACCACTCACCGGGAGTGCAGGTCAGGTCAGCTGACGAATCCCCAAGAGGACGAAGTGCGCGTCCTGGATACCACCAATAGCCACCATCAACCAAAATAACTACGGCAAGATATAATTAAAGATATTAATTTTTGTGAGAGTAAAAAATAGTCAAATATGCTCATTGCAGTTAGAAGTCAGTTTAGCTAGAAGAGACTTCTCATGTACATCAAGCTATATGAGCTCCATTTCGCTTTTTGAGGATTGATGGTGATACTGTTTGGTTGCTTCGATTAAAGTAGGTAAAGCGTGAGCCAAACTCAGGTGCTTACGATAATAAGCCACATCACAGGTAATAATTATGCGTCGGTGGTTCAGAGGCAGAATGCACGACAAACACGCAAGTGTTTCGGAATTCGATTCTCGGCACACGCAGTTCTAAATGTAGCCTAGCTTGATAGCCGATGGTAAATCCGGAAAACACCGAAGATTGGGTGTGAGGATAACAACCCAATTCCGGAAAAACAACATCACTGCAAATAAAACTTCATGTCTAGAGACGCACGCTCAACGCGATCTCACGGAATAAAGGAAAACTTGGGAATAATTAATTTTAACATTACGATTAGTCAAGTAAATTAATATCAAAAGAACGGTATGGGGAAAAGAAAATGTTTAAAAGGTTTTCGCCTGTGACAATTCATTCTTACTGTAGGCAGAGACACTGCACATACCTAAATTACACTGGCTTCATAATACTCGTCTGTTAATTGGATACCTTGTTAGGTTAGAAAGACTGACTGACTGTATTCAACATAGAACTCTGCACAGAGGTGCAGCAGTTAGAGTTGCAACACTCCCTCCTTTTAGCACACAGAGCAAGAGGAAAGAGTAAAGAGATTCAAAATACAGAGATAATAAACAGAAATGTGAAGCGAAAAGAATGATAATATAGAAGAACAATAGAATTTTATTTAATATTATAAATCACAAAGAGTGACTACATCCGCTTCATTGACAACGATCCTGAGCCATATCACCAAATTGTCTCCAGCAGTCATTGGTTCTTACCATTTCGAGGACCTCAACCAGGAAGTCTACATCTCCCTACGTGGCTGGTTTAAACTAACTGTTGTGGACTTCATTGACTGATGAAGCCATGTTTTGGTTTGACCACCCCTACCACTTCTCCAACCTGATCCATCTAATGTCATCTAATCTAACATCGCCGGTCAAGGAAGGCGATGGCTAGGCATACGTAAAACATGTCCTAACCATCTCAATCGGTGTAATTTCACATCCACGTCGATTGATTTCCTTTCCCCCACCTACCTAACACTCAACGCCTAACCTCAGTATTGCTCACCTTATTATACCACTTAACATGGGAGATAGAACGCAGGCACATATTATCAAAGACAGTTAGTCTTCCACTTTCAATGGCCATGTCTCACATCCAGCCATAAAGGAGGATAGAGCGAACTGAGGAGCAGTACACGTCTTTTGATCGACAGCCGGATATCACGTCTACTAAGTCATAGATGGCGTAAGTTGGCAAATGCCGAACGAGCCTTCTGTACCCGTGCTGAGATTTCGTCAGCGATCAACCCGTTGGGGCTTCCCAAACAAGAAGTGGTCAACGTGCTCTACCACTTCACTCCCTATTTGTACGCCAGGAGTCAATGTAGTCCAGTCCTGTAGCATCATCTTACATTTGGCGGGAGCAAATAGCATGCCAAACATTCGCAGACTGCAATTCAAGGCGTTCAGAAGACTCTGCATCTTGTCAGCGTCTTTATCACTTAGAAGGAATATAGCATATTCTCTAAGAAAACGAGATTATTCCCTGATGGCAACAAGTCAATCTCTAAGTCACTGAAGTCAGATGACAACTCGGCGTGAGCTCTCATCTGGCTGCATCAGTTCGAGTAGAGTGCCTTGATTAGTGCAATGTATTTTCTCGGTATTCCTTTGACAGACAAGCATCGCCATAGCACCTCTCAGTCGACGGAATCGAATGCCGCCTTTAGGTCAAGAAATATGACGATTGGTGGACGCCAGTAAGTATGTTCCAGGATCTGTCGGAGGGTAAAGATTTGATCAGTACACTCTCTTCCTGGTCTGAAGCCTGCTTGGTTCTCTTGTTTGTTTCTCCCGAACAGACTAATCTGTCACAGGATTCTTGCTCTCCTTCAAATCACCGAAAAAAACCCATTGAGTCATAAAGGAAATAAAGGATAAATTCAGCGAGGAAATTTCTCTTTATCGACGAAATCATCTTCAGAGGCTGTACAGTCGTATTTATACTTACCAAAATGTAAAGTGGCCTATTATTAAGTAATAAGGGGTGATATAATTACTCGGAAGTGGCTTTAGAAGTAAAAAAATTAAAAGTTCTAAGTTACGTGGTACTCAACGGCACATAGATAGAAATTTGATAAGGTTAACATTGCTCTTGAGTGAGAATAAAGATAGTTGAGTGTCAATTTAACAAGTGTGAAGAGGGTGTGAAAATGTACAAAAGGAACATATGAGAGTGATAATAGTGAATTGATTATTAAAGCAAAAGCAAACTTAAAGTAAGATTAAAAAAGGGAAAGAAAAAACTCAAAATTCTTTACAGGGAACGACTAGTGAAGAGGTTAAGATCAAGGTAGAATAAGAGACTGGACAAACGTTCTCTGTATACAGAGTTCGAGGTTGTATTGACGAATTGCTCTTAACCTCTTCACTAGTCGTTCCCTGTAAAGAATTTTGAGTTTTTTCTTTCCCTTTTTTAATCTTACTTTAAGTTTGCTTTTGCTTTAATAATCAATTCACTATTATCACTCTCATATGTTCCTTTTGTACATTTTCACACCCTCTTCACACTTGTTAAATTGACACTCAACTATCTTTATTCTCACTCAAGAGCAATGTTAACCTTATCAAATTTCTATCTATGTGCCGTTGAGTACCACGTAACTTAGAACTTTTAATTTTTTTACTTCTAAAGCCACTTCCGAGTAATTATATCACCCCTTATTACTTAATAATAGGCCACTTTACATTTTGGTAAGTATAAATACGACTGTACAGCCTCTGAAGATGATTTCGTCGATAAAGAGAAATTCCCTCGCTGAATTGGTCTTTTATTTTCTTCAAAACTAATCTGTATTCCAGAATCAGATTCCTTTTCTTTTAATATAACGAGAAACCAGTTGACAGTATCCGTCTGCTTGAGTGAGTACAGCAATAACAGTGCTAATCGATAATCAGTCATCAAAGAAATCTTATTCATAATAACACCCTTAAATAAGCCTACGCAAAGAATAAATGTTATTAATTGTAGTCATTTAAATATGTATGCAGATGAAAGTTAGCGGTGATCACAAAAAACATGCCATCATTTTATGAAGTCTTTGATAGCCAGTGTGAGATAGGTGGATGTCTTTCACTTTTCTATCCTTGTGAATGCTTTTGAAATATACCAGATTGAAATGGGATATCTTTGTGAGAAAATCTATATGAAGAGTTCAGTCCCGTTATTTTATCTTACCTTACCTGAGCCTAGAGCTTTCCATATAGTGAAAAACTTGTGAACAATAATAAATGTTATGTATTTTAATGTATTTTTGAAGGTATGCACACTATATATTCAAATATATCATTACTATTATTATCTGTAGATTTCATGCCGACAAAAACATAGGACTTCAGTGGCACACCTAATTCTGCTCTCTTCTCTGCTATCACTTTCAATCAGCTCCACAAATGCCCACAAACTTTTTTTACTTCTTTAAATGATCTTTTGCATCTCAGACTGCGACACGCGACCCATCGATTTCCATTTGGGTTTTACTCGGGGATCTCGTGTGTGATACCATCTATAAGTCTCATCAGCGCAACGTATGCCGAATTCACCTCCATTTCCTTCTACATATTTATTGGGCAATAGGTTGTTGGGTGGTTCGCTGCACTGCCAGACTTCCTTGTTGCTTATCCTTTCTGACTGGCCGTTTAATCTTCAGTGTCATCAAGCCAAGGCAGTAAGCTGTTGGAAATACTCTCCGTAACTCGCACGCCAAGTCTCTAAACGATATAGAAGTACTGATTTGACATTAGTATTGAAAATGTGGATCATGTTCCTTGTGTTGAGTGCTGTAGATTTCAACAAGGATTTGAGTGTCGTGAAAACCTGTCTTGCTCTTCTGATCCTATCTGGCTTTGACATCGTCCTCTGTGCCACTTGTAGTTGAGACGATCATTAGCACTCACTGAATAGATGAAAACTAGCGTGTATTTTTGAACATGATAAAAATTTCAAATATTAAAATATGACAATAAAATTAGATTTTACCAGTTTGACCACAGATTGATATCAGTTAGAGAACCATTGAAAACCAGGGAGTACTGTATAGCTGCTGTTTCATCCTAGCTTGGGAGTCATCAGCAGTACGCATCCCGCTGGGGCTCAAACCCAGGACCTTCCGGTTACGATGCAACCTCGTACACCATTCAGCCAATGGGGCTCGATCCAATGGCCCATGAATTCGAACTTCTACCAATTCGTGATTTAGTGCGACCACCAACAAATGTCATTGGTGGGACATCCATCCTCACAATTGACTGGATGAACCTCACTGGTCACGACTTCTCACTAGCGACTTGCTACAAGATGGAGTTCCCTAGAGTTCTAGTGAGAAGTCATGACCAGTGAGGTTCATCCAGTCAGTTGTGAGGATGGATGTCCCACCAATGACATTTGTTGGTGGTCGCACTAAATCACGAATTGGTAGAAGTTCAAATTCATGGGCCATTGGATCGAGCCCCATTGGCTGAATGGTGTACGAGGTTGCATCGTAACCGGAAGGTCCTGGGTTTGAGCCCCAGCGGGATGCGTACTGCTGATGACTCCCAAGCTAGGATGAAACAGCAGCTATACAGTACTCCCTGGTTTTCAATGGTTCTCTAACTGATATCAATCCGTGGTCAAACTCGTAAAAACAAGTCTAATCCTCACAAACCAACTCTTGAAAATAAAAGTAGTGTATCCTGAAGGCAGCATTATTTTATCTGCATGTACAAACACACACATATAGTCATTAACCAACTTTCATTAAATATTTATTAATTACCTTTTCTAATAATTCAGTCTCACATATATACTTATGTGTTGATGGTTCTCTGGTATCTGTTTTCTGGGCATACATCTCATCAGCTCTGCCTAGTTCAATATACGCTCGTAATTTATTCACTTCACTCAAAGCTTTTGTTTGACTATGCAGTAAATAGGCATTTTCTTTTGTTAACTTTTCAACAAGTTTATTCATTTGTTTATAATCACTGTTGTTATTGTATTCCACCATCTCATGAAGTTTTGAAGAGTTTAGAAGATTATTTGATTTCTTTGTTAATCTGTAGTGGTGCGGACATTACAATTGTAGAAAATTAGAAAGAAAATGGGTTCAAAATTACAAACAAAAGTTTAAAAAAAGGAATAGAAACCAACTAAGAAATGTAAACCACGCATCATTTATGGAGGGAAAATCGACACAGAGGCTGTGTGAATAGGATTTTAAATAAGGCTAGAATTAGGGCGGTATTTATTTTAACTAGCCAATCAACTCACTGAGGTCAATTTTGTCGACTTAAGGATTTGTTAAACCCAATCACGAAAAATAATATGATTCACCAGATACCATGTAATGAGTGTGACGTCAATTACATTAGTAAATACCAATTTCCACATACGTGCCGAAGCACATACATACACAGAACAGAAAGGATGTGACCACATCTGAAAATACTCGAATAAACTTGCGTCTGGAAGGTGCGAAAGTCCTTAGTAGTGCGATTATTGACCACTTGTTAGACAGCAGTCATGAAATCGATGCATTAGAAACCTTCAGGATAATCAAATTTGAAGACAGCTATAGGTATTCTACGTATCACTAAAGCGGCTGCTATTAGACGAATAATTTATGCTTCACTATGGTGAATATGCTTTGCGTTACTGAATTGTTTTCGTTAATTTTGTTATCTTAATTAAAGTTTGTCTTGACAAAGTAATTTTCTTCCCTTAATTTTATCATTCTCTATATTTTTTTTGACCTCTATTCAACTAAATTATTTGCCCTTTACGTAAATGTATTGGTTATTTTGCACCCCTATTTGATTTGAAGCATTCGTTTGTCCTTCTAGAATATTTCATATCATTTCTATGCATACATGCGAGCTTAACAACTTCTATTTCTCTCCATTATGCTATTCATTCACGTAATATTAACATCCTTCATATTTATGACTAATAAGTAAAGTTTAATTCAGTTAAGATTTTCCCGTCGATTGATTGGACCAAAGTGCTCGGTTTCAAGTTGAAATGCTGGCTTTTTGTGCAGACGCGTCGACGATGTCTGGTCATACGACTTGAAGTCAATTGTTTGATGGTGACTAGCATCCAGATGGCGAGTCGCAAATAGGACGAAATGTGTGTCCTGGATTCCACTGCTAATCACCACCAATCAATGGACTTCAAGTCGCATGACTAGACATCGTCGAAGCATCTGTACAAGGAGCCGATATATCAGTGTGAGACCGAGCACTTTGATCCACTCAATCGACGGGAAAATCTAAATTTGAATTAAATAATTAATAAGACCCCTTCCACAAGAGGTGATCCAAGTGGTCTAGTGGATAACGCTTTGACGTTTGAAACTATGGGCACTAGGTCCGGGCCTCGGTAGGAACACCATTACTCACTGAGAAACGCAGGTGCACATAGCTGACGAGTCACAGATAGGATGAAACGCGCATCCTAGATTCCACTGCTAGTCACAATCAACCAATTAATAAGTAAACTGCTTACATATTTTTCTATTAAATTGTTTATGAGTGTATGCAGATGACAGGGAACAACGAAATAAAATGACGTCAATTTGTCCTGCTCAATGTTTTCTTCTTGCATTGTTCAAGATTTCACTATGCTTGATAAACGCTCAGTCCTCGACCCAAGCTGCCGAACAATTACTTACAGTGATATCCTTTCGAATTTTTTTTCGTGGTAATTGTGCGTCAACAAAAATTTTAAGAAGGTTGCACGACACATACTACTTGAGGACTACCTATATTAGTAATAGTTGGTCAATATTGCTTTCCATGTCAAAATGATCTAAGCACCAAAACATTCCGTTTTCATATTTGATTAGATTGCTGTTTTGAAGTGGTGTGAACATTTCCAATCTGCAGTAGAAAACATAAAGGAGATTTTGTCAATTGCTCTACACTCGATTGTATCATTTTCCCATATCTATTATTATACCAGGAGGTAACACATTGAGTCATTCCTCGCTGAATGACTTGTGGACCGGACAACTGACGTTGACGCAGATTGAAGGTCAAGTCAGTGGTTCTTCATTAGTACGAGCTCACCAGTAAAAAATAGTAATCTCATGGCTATTGTAAAATAACAATATAATTAGTTGTCTTCTTTATTGTTATTGCTATTAGCAAGGGGGAAATAAATCTTTGCCTTCATAGACAGCCTTTTGTGTCTTCTCAGTATGGAAATAATAGCCGAATGGTCAGTTGAACAGCGATGTTGTGTGGAACTAATACTAACAACGAATAAACGAATTCTAGCACTGTTATCACAGTCACAACAATAATCAACTGCTGCTGTAGTACTTTCCACCACAAGCCAGCATCATTTAGACAACTGATTAAAACTGAAATGCACTGAATATTTACTTCCTTCTAGTTGGAAACTGTTGACTGGTCTGTATTGGATATTGGTCGCATTCTATTACAACTCCTAATGTGATTTTTTTGGATATATCCATCAAGACCAAATAGTAATTCACTTACTGCGACATCTCAGCATACTTTACATATTATCAACATTAATCACTTTACTTATGAATACTTGCTTAGAAATACTTTAAAAAAGTGGTTCCATCTTTCCTTTGAAGTAATTAATCATCATTGATTCTCGTGTATATATGTGTGTCAGAGTGTAATAATTTTTTACTACTTTTGGAAACAAGCATCAAATCTCACTCATGTCTTGTGGTTGTTTGGCTTGTATAGATATTATTACTTTGTCCTGTTGATACTGGTTGTAATCACATGAATGAATAGTGAACACAGTTCTGTTTTCTAAAATGTGAAAATGACATAATGAGCTTCGGTCGACTACATTTACTGATTGATGGAGACTGAAGACAGGAAAGCTTTATTAAAGTATACTACTTATAAATAATAAGTTGTAATATTCCATTTACCATGAGATGATTTTCCTTTATGGCGTTTTGTCGATAAATGAAGTTGTGAATGATATAGGCAGGTTTAGTTCAATGAAGCTCTTCTGACAAAGGGATATTGAAGAGTCTTCTAAGCTTTAAATGTAGGTTGAATTCACAGTGAAAATAAACGGCTAAGGTCGTCGCATACCGAAACACCTTATTTACCTACGAGAGCAGCAGTGTTCCGATGTATGGATTTTTTTAAACGCAGGTGAATTTCAACAAAAAAAACCTCGCCATCTAATGATATACAAAAAAGTCTAGTTGCTGTAACTGGAATTCTTGGGTTCGTTATTACTTTTACTTGAAAGCAACGGCACTATACGGCTCATCAGTAGGCTACTACTCCTACATTGAGAAGACAAAGAAGGCTGACGAGGAAGGTGAAGATTTATTTTTCCTTGTAAAATGCAATATCTGGCAATGGGGCATATTTTTGCAGTTTCTCAAGGGTATATTTGCCAAAATTCCTTAATATTTTCTACTGTAGATTAGAAATGTTCATATCACAACTAAGCAGTAATTGAATCAAATACGAAAACTGATTTTTTGATGCTTAGATAATTTTGATATGAATATCAAGAATGGCTAACTACTGCTGACATAGGCAGTCCTCAAGTAGTATATGTCGTGTGACGCTCTTAACACTTTACTGATACACACAAGTTAGCTACGCATTCGAAGAAGTTAATGTCAGCAGTAGGCATGAAAGCATTTGTTTTCATAAATTCACAAGACCTCAGTTCACATTAAAAAATAATTCTGTCATTTACTGTTTTATGGTTGCACACCCTCCTATACAAATGGCTTAATTATTTTCAAATAATTTAATGGAAAATAAAATTCAGATTTTGGGTTCTGTAGGGATAGAAGATTAATTTTAGTGTGTATTTTACCACTAAATGACACCATCTACAGAATCATTGAAAACCAAGCATTATTGGAGAGATACTTAATTCTAGCCTGCGACTTTTCAGCAGTGCCCATGTATGACCTCAAAAGGGATAGAAACGAGAACCTTCAGGTTACAATGTCAACATTTTGAGGATTTGGCTCCGGGATTGAAATCAAACAACCCGTGGATTCTATCAATACTGTCAATTGATTAGCTGAATAAAACGCTATTACGAAAAATGGCAAAAGTTAGAATTTAAGGGTCATTGGATTCTAACCCGGTGACTGGATGGTTAACACGTTCACCTTGTAACCAGAAATTCCGAGGTCCGATTCCCAGTAGGGTCATGGGTGCGTACTGCTGGAGCCCTAGTTCAGGAGAAAACAGCTATTCAGTACTTCCTGGTTTTCAATGATTCACTAACTGGTATCAGTAAGTGATGAAATCTAAATTGGAATTGTAATACCTTATTAGTCGTAGCCTGACATATTAGAACTCCTAATTAATATTAGGTGGCTGGACACGATCAACAGAAAGTTCTGTACTCAGCTTCCGTACCTGTTAGCAACTACAACACCAAAGGAACTGATGTCCGCTAGGACTCATACCACCTTGCGCTGGATGGTCAGAAACGTTAACAATAAGCTATTCGGGCTGATAATTGACCTCCTGTAACACTCTAACGGATACATTGTTAAGTAAATGTGGAGCAATCAGCGTCATGTGTTTGGATCTTATTGATAGTGATGACTGGATTTTACCAGTCAAGTAATTCCTAGGGCAAAGACAAAAAAACAGATTTTCTTTCTGCCGAATTACTTACTCACTCATATCTGAATCCACTGACGATAATTCAGTATCTCTGTTACTGAACATTGATTTTGTAGTACCAACCGCATCGTTATGATCTTTGCCGACTGGAAGGTAGTGTTCAGCGACAGAGGTGGTAACAAGAAAAGCAGAAGGTGGTAACAAAACCTCACCTGAATGTTCGTTTTTCATAATCCTAGATAATTTAAATCAAAGGGGGTAATACATATAAGTACACTTTGGTACCAAAATGAAAATCACATCAACTAAGCATTAAGAAATCTACATTTTGTAATATACAACATGAACACTACATTAATTCAGTAGAAAATTGTCGTTATGATCCTGTAGAAAAGGTATCCATCACCCCCTGCAAATTGTTGGACCGTTTAGCTGCTATCTTGACGTGGTGGTCGGGCCATCATACTGCAACACTGGCTGGAACTATTGTTCCTGCAGGTCCTGCCATGTCAGGAAGGTTGTTAGGACAGCGATTAGACTAAGAGCAGTTACCGGAATTGTGTAAGAATTTTTTTACATTATGCTGGAGGTCTGTGGGCGAAGTCGTACTGTCGGGAAACAGGGATGTAACAGCAGTAAGGTGTTTCCCTCAGATGACCAGCATACCAGCTATGCTGTCTTTCTACTCTGGAGAGAGGGGGCTAGAAAAGCTCCACCCCAACAATTGTACATCCCGACTTCCTCTACGATAGTCCGTAATCGGTGGTAAGTTTACTAATACGTAACCAAACCAAGAAACCAGTTCATACAGGCCGTGTGTGACTGGCCTCAAGCAGTTGTTCCCTGGGCTCTGCGATCACACAACCCTAACCCTCTTTCTGTTTCAGGTACTCGAAGAATCAACTAACTTCCACGGTGTGGGTAGCCGGGAAGTAACAACCGCCCACACATTTCCAAGAGGACACAAGCCTTCCCGAGCATCCTTCTCCTTTATCCACATCACGTTCCTCATCTTGCTTCCCTACTGCAGTCACTACTATTGTGCATGCTAGTGAGTCATCTTCACTTCACTCTGTGACCACAAACAACGGTGAGAGCCATATAAACACCGCCGACAACCTTTTAAAGACACTTCGCCAACTTCATATAGGAGTATCCAACATCAGGACCCTCTGCCAAATCGGACAACAGGCATCACTAGCAAGAACTCTGGCATATTGAGCTATGGATGTATGTTGTGTTTCAGAGACACTCATACAAGACCCGAGTGTGGTCATTCACTTAACTTCACCCGACCAACAAGGTGAATCTGCGAAATTCACCTTAAGAGTGTCAGGAGATCCGTCAGCTGGTTCGTGAAGACTCGCAGGTGTAGGGATAGCATTGAGTGTTAGGGCATAAAAATCACTTCTTGAGTGGATCCCAGTAGATAGTCGTATGTATGCGGCACGTCTGATCGGGTCAGTCAGAAGAAAGAAGGACGACATTTCCCGTTGTTGTCTTTTCGTAGTCGCCGCTTACGCCCCAATAGACCGCAGTTCGGATGAACAAAAGGATGATTTCTAGCTGAAACTATCTAATTTTCAAAACGCTGAGATATAGCTGTTTTAGCAGGCTGCTTCAATGCCCAAGTAGGGGAGTTGTGCCAGACTGAGAAGTATGTAGGTGGTACGTATGGAGTTCCCTGCCGACAAATCGACAACAGTGATCGTCTTCTACAGTTTTGCTCAGATAATCACCTGTTCTTAGTCAGCGCTGACTTTAGGTGCAAAGAGAGACACTGCGTAACCTAGTGACCTCCATCACCAAATCAACGCTGGTCTCAGATAGACCACATAGCGATAGGGTATCATTGGCGAGGGTGAATAGAAGATTGCCTCTCCTTCTGGAACACGTGCGTAGACTCTGATCACACTCTGGTTCGCGCACGTTTATGCTTACGACTAAACGGACATAAGAAATTGATGGCAGCGAAACAGTTACGTCCCCAGCTAGATCGAGACACAGAGTCCCTATTTAAGCAAGAAATAGCGAAAGGAGTATCTCAGATCAACAACAAGACTCTTCCTGAGGAAGCATAGCACCATGCACACTTAGCTGTAGACACGGGCGTAAAAGCTGTTAATAACCTGAAACCTAATGTTAGTAAGAACCATTGGATCTCTACCACCTCATCCGAACTGGTTGACGAAAGAAGACTGATTCCGGCAAGCTCCGATTATGATGAGGAGCGAAAGCTACTCAAACGCAAACTAACAAGAAGTCTTCGTAACGATTTTGAACGGTGGTGGGCGACAAAAGCAAAAGAGATGGAAAAGGCATCGGCAATTGGTAAGACCAGACAACTACTTAGACTTATTACGGAAACAGGTGGTAAAACGCAAACGAAAAATGAAACAATCTGTGAGAAACATGGCACCATAATTAGCTCCCAGGATAGATGACTAGGACGTTCAAATTAACACTTCGAGGAGCAGTTTATTTGGTCTACAGCCACGCCCAGCCTACCGAACATCCAACACCCCCTGAATGGGATAAAACACAGGTTCACCGTCCCTAACTGAGGTTACTAAGGCTGTAACCAGTCTGCAACAAGGCAAAGTTACGGGACTCCTGAGGTATTTAAGTAACGGGTTGATCGCTGACGAAATCTCAGCACGGGTACAGAAGGCTCGTTCGGCATTTGCCAACTTACGCCATCTATGACTTAGTAGACGTGATATCCGGCTGTCGATCAAAAGACGTGTACTGCTCCTCAGTTCGCTCTATCCTCCTTTATGGCTGGATGTGAGACATGGCCATTGAAAGTGGAAGACTAACTGTCTTTGATAATATGTGCCTGCGTTCTATCTCCCATGTTAAGTGGTATAATAAGGTGAGCAATACTGAGGTTAGGCGTTGAGTGTTAGGTAGGTGGGGGAAAGGAAATCAATCGACGTGGATGTGAAATTACACCGATTGAGATGGTTAGGACATGTTTTACGTATGCCTAGCCATCGCCTTCCTTGACCGGCGATGTTAGATTAGATGACATTAGATGGATCAGGTTGGAGAAGTGGTAGGGGTGGTCAAACCAAAACATGGCTTCATCAGTCAATGAAGTCCACAACAGTTAGTTTAAACCAGCCACGTAGGGAGATGTAGACTTCCTGGTTGAGGTCCTCGAAATGGTAAGAACCAATGACTGCTGGAGACAATTTGGTGATATGGCTCAGGATCGTTGTCAATGAAGCGGATGCAGTCACTCCTTGTGACTAAGAATTTCCAATGAAACTATGTTGTCCCTCATTATAACTATGCCTTTTCTCTCATATCCCTATTTACTGTCTCTATTTTGCATTGCTTCTACTTTCTTGTTTTGCTTTGTGTGCTACATGGAGTGTGGCAACTTGAACTGCTGCATATCGGTGCAAAGTTCTATGTTGAAAACAGACAGACAGAGTCGAATTATGTGAAAGACAGTCTCTTATTTGCTAAGCGCATGTCTCTGGGAGTTGTATAAGGTCTACAATAGGATAAGTTTTTTGAAGAATACTAGTTACTCACTAATAAATAATCATTGACACTTCACAAAAGACAATGTGAACAATTTTTTAATTTTCGAAGAAGAAGACAATTTTTATCATTATCTTAATACGAAAATGTGTAGTCTTATCTGAAGAGACTTTCAAGTGAGATTACAGACCAGGTTCTTGAGTGGAACCTGAATGGGAAGTGACCTGTCCGGTCCGGAGGTGGCCTGGAGTAGCTCATGTCAATAGGGAATAAAAGGCTGTAGAACCAGCTAGTGACTGCAGAGAATTAAGTGTAGTGCAGATGTGCCGCCAACGCCCTTTGTTACACTGGCAACGAATAATAGTAATTGTGTACTCTGTGCGCCACAACACTATCATCTTTGACTAAAATGGAAATGTTTCTTTTTGGGTGACTTAAGCATATTTCTCTTGTTAAATTATTTTGTACAATGTTGGAAAGTATGAGAATTTAAAGTGATCGATCAGATATGGTACTGAATTCCATATTTTCATTTGTTCTAAGGTGATAAATAGATAAAGTAATGTGCCATTATATAATACAGACACAGTGTGAGTTAGAATTCACTTATCTGACAGCGACCAATCAGCCACAATTAATGTGTGAATGCTGATCATAATAGCTATTTTCTTCAGGCCTAAGTAGATACAGATAGGTTCGAATTCTAAACCCAATGGATGGGGGTTGGGTATCTAAAACAATGAGCAGAATCTCTACAAAGATACATCGATAACTGCAGAACCTTGAACGGCGAAATTACCCCTGTTTGCCGATTTTAAGGGTCGGGAATGCCCTGTTCTTCGCTATGATAGTAAATTTCTAAATTCAACCTATCAGAATGGCAAAACAGACGGGCGAAATGTAGAAAATCCTAGGAAAATTGAATGATGACTCCATTGCAACTGCTAATGTGTACAAACCATTCTCCGTTTACATGCTCCTCCACGTATATATGAAAACAGTTTACCTCCGCATTCAATATTGGGTGTGCTGGACTCAAGTCACCAAGTTCAGTTGGTAAACTTCTTGAACCAGTCACATCAAGTTGTGTGTATGGTCATTCGAATACTTTCGACTTTATCAGTTGCAGTAATACGATTAATGTGACGGCTAAGCATATAATTTCACTGAGCGTTTGCTTTTGATTTACAAATGTGCTTTTAGCACAAAAGATGTGCCAATGAAAAGACAAGAAAAGTTTCATGGAAAACCACCAACAAATTTAATATTAAGCTACACCATTGGTTATTTCGAATTCTTAAAAGGTAAAAAGCTTCAGTAAACGCACAATTATTCGTGGATTAATTTTTACAGCATATGACAAGAGTAGTAGATCGTGAAGCAAACCACAAAAAGTGAGAAGATGGACATACATTGAATCAACAAAGACCATGGACTTCGCAGATAATTTATTTCTCATACAATACAAACTCGAAGATTTAGAAGAGAAAAAAATGACAGAAGAAAAGTTAAAGATAGTATTTTGCTTGAAAGTACGGAACGCGTGATGAAAATATCCGGCTAGAAACACCAAGCATCAATAACCAAAAACAGGAGAAATCTAAAGGAAGGCATTTCGCCCGCTTACCTAACTTGGGCGGCACCGATAATGGTGTCAGAGCTAGTAAGGATCAGGAGAGCAATACAAACATTTATCGGTCTTAAATCAGCAAAAGGAACAAAATCTATATTTTCAACACTAATGTCAAGTCATTGCTGCGATATGGTTCGGAGACTTGGAGCGAATCACCAAAACAATTTCTAACAGCCTACTGCAGAATTCGACCCTGCTTCGTACTGAAGATCGAATAGCCGACCAGAAAGGATGAGTAATAAGGAAATCTGAGCAGACAGAGAATCATCTAACAACCTATTACCGAACAAATATGCAGAAGGAAATGGGGACAGGTCGGACACACATTACGCTGAGATTTTCAAACACACATGAGACTCTCGAATACAACTCAAATGGGAGCCAATACGTTGAGTGTTCCTGAGTGACATGAAGGACATCATGTGAAGAAGTGATAGGTTGTGAGTAGTCATTAAGTTGATTAAAAGTGATAGCAGAGAACAGAGTGGAATGAGATGTAAAACTGAAGTCGTATTATTATTATTATTATTCCGTTGGGTTCCGAGTGGAACACAGAGCGTCGACAACACATCTCCGCTTAGCTCTATTTTGTGCCATCCTCTTCTTTGTTCAGTACCCATCTTTTTTAGCTGGGTCCACGATTGCCAATAATCTCTCATACCCTCGCTGAAGCCGTATGTTCCACTCAAATGCAAAAAAAGAAAAGTAGTAATAATAATGAGACCACATACTCCAACACTACTGTTGAAGGAATAAAATCTACCCAACTATCAATGCAACAGATAAAGCATTTGTTCCATAGCATTCCATTGAGAGAAAAAAAGAGGAAGACTTAGAAAAGTAGGTGGAGATTTATTCAGAAACAAAATAACAATTTAAGACAACAGCAATTTTGTATAAGTACATGATCATATACCAATTCGAAAATAAATTTTAAAAATATTATAGGGGGCTAAAAAGCATTTTGAAAAAAGGATGCGGGAGTTTACTCCTTATGAAAGACAAATGATGAAGTATTAGCTGCTTCACATCCATGTCGATACATTGTTAATTGATACAGTAATATACCAGCTGCCACGGCGACATTTAATGAAGACGGAATATTTTGTGATATTGATTTATTCACCAAGTTAGGCGTATCTGCAAGGCCTGGGACACGTAGTAATAAATCGCAGGCATTTAAGACATTTTCACTCAGACCTCTTGATTCACTACCTAAAGCTAAAACCATTGGTCTGGGCGAAATTCTAGTATTGTTATTACAGTCATTAACTCCTACCTAGAAGAATAATGTGCATAAATAATTGTAAACAAACACGTAAAGACAGAAAAAAATTTTTATCATTAAAAGTGCTTTAAAGTAACTTCATACAACAGACTGACAGATAGTTCGGTAAACAAGACCATGGTTATATATAATGTTGCCTCCCGACTGGTGAAGAGATACTTTTAGAACCCCACAAAAGTGAATCAGTTCATTTAGCGACATGTCATAGTGACACGGTCCATAATTTAGTAATAGTGATTTGAAAACTGGACGTTATGGGTAGAAACGGTTAGGGACAATAACTTACGCTACCTAAGAATTTCTTCTACTATATGAATGTATCACGGATTTCTTATGGGGAGAGAAAAAATACTTAGGACGATATAAGATTCCAAACCAGGAAATTTATGCAAGGATTACAATTGAAACGCACAATACGCAGATTGATGCTAGAATCATTTTTAGTCAACTGAATAGTCACAGCGTACAAATTTTTATTGCAAATATATCACAGTGACAGTATTATTTACTGAATGACGCCCAGAAGCAATTTACGGTTCATGATCATTTCAGTTACACAACTTCAAAACTCGACTTTTATTATTCCCAGTCTTTTTTCCCCAATTGCCACAAGGGTAGAGATATTTTCTAGGTATCTGTCACGCGTGTTGAATCATTTCTACTTCTCGTGTTCTCAGTTGATTATACAAGTAAAGCTTCACTCATAAGTACTTTCATTTATCCTGTTATATTAGATTTCAGGACTGTGACTTTTTCCCATACTAAGTGTAAGTGTATGCAGTGTAATAGCTGCGCTTTTTTCAAGATACCTTATCTTAATAGGGCTTACTACTCTAGATTTCGCTAGGATTTTGCGCTCCGCTAATAAGATGTATCCTGGCCTATTGCCATGAATCCACAATCATTGTATTGTGAGATGAACTAAGTTACTGTGCAATAGGCTCCTGTGAAGCTCAAATGTAACTCAGCGACTGCTAGTTCCAAATTTATTAGTCAGAATATGTTGACACTTCTTAATTAGGCAAAATAACTGAGTCACATTGATACAATATTACACGCCAAATTATAAGCTCAACCTACCACTTAATACCACAAGTGAAAAAACTGATAAAACTACTATACTCAAATAATAGATGAACTAGTACCTCATTCGGTTGTAAGCAATTCAAGGGTTTGCTAATTGCATTTGGTGAAATTTGACTTTCTCCACAAGTGCCAACGACTAGAAATCCGGCATCTGACAAAGACTTCATATCCATTACGATATCAGTCAATCTGTAAAATAGCATACCTTCCATGGCACCAACACTAAGCTTGCTGATAAGTGGTGATGGAGTGACACATGGAGCAGTAGATAGTAACACAGCAGAGACGCCAAAAAATGCAGCTGAACGCAAAATACTTCCAAAGTTCATAACATCTGAAATATGGTCTAGTAGTAAGATAATAGGTCGATTATTCTTCTTCACAAACGGGAAATATTTTTCAGATGGGTTTGTCCAAGAGTGTAACAAGTTTTGGATTGATAGGTTGGAGATAGGATGGATAATGATTGGTGAAACCTCAAGTAACACACCCTGATGTGATCTTGAATTAGATAAAACTTTCAGTTCTTCAACTGATACATGTGTAATAGGTATGTTAAATCGAAGTGCTTCCTCGATTATTTGAGATAAAGACAGCTCTACGAGGCTTTCAGAATCTTTGGTTTTGGATGAAATATCTCTAACATACAATTGCTTTATATTACGCTGATGGAATGAAAGAGCACACAGAACAGGGTGAATTCCGTAAAGTGTTTCACATAGCTGCTGATGAATTGTCCCACACGAGGTGGTCAGATTGTATCTTGGTTTATGAAAGAATGTAGGGACAAGAAAGCTTAAAATATTTTTTATCTACAAAAAAGGAATATGAGTCAATTTGATAGACCATCAATGAAAGGATACTTAAAAATGAGACTATTCTCCTAGCCTGAGACTTCCGCAGTACATACACACAACCACACCATTACGAGACAAGCCCGTTGGTAATTCGGTCACTAGGACGAAACACAGTTGCACATGAATTCCAACTTTTGCCCGTTCGTAATTGCCAATATTTTCTCACTAGAAATTGACTCTATGACGGAGAGCCTAGGATTTAAGTGAGAAGTAAGTTGTCACGTTTCCCGAGCCAGGTATTAGAACATGTGCCCAGTGAAAACATTGGTTGAAGATGAATCTATACATCACAAGTTGGAAGAAGTTAAAACCCATGGCCCACAGGATTATGTTCCTGTCTCAATAATCAACAGGGCCGCTTCATAAGCAGAAGGTTCTGAGTTCGGCCTCCGATGGGGTCATGGGTGAGTATTGCCGCAAAGTCCAGAAGTACGACTAAACACCTCTCCAGTACTTCATGGTTTCACTGTTCCTCTAGCTGATGTTAGTTAGTGGTTTACCTTGAATTGAACTCAAACCCCTTCAAACCAACCCCTGAAGTGAGTACAGTGACTTATAACAGTCATTTTGAAATTTTAGTTCCTTAAACTGATGTTGTGTCTAAACCAGAGTACTGGTTATTGATTCTATAGACACATGGGAGTTATAAATATTGTAACCACCAGAATGATCATATAATAAAAGTTTGCATGATAAACCATTACAAAGGGTTGGATCTTATTAAAACAAAGTCATAACTGATGTATAAACATCAGTACAGCAGGCTAAGCGAATCATGTTTTTATCTCATAGATTATCCCAGTTTGGCACAAATATCACTGGGAAATCCAGTAACCACCATTTTTGTTTACGAAGTTACTGGAGATTTTTTTGTTATCTACATGCTTATTTGTTAAATATGGCCCGACATCGTACTTATTTTTTCACTTCAGTACACCAGACCTTATGTATAGAGAATAATGGTTTACGAACACACAGTAGACCATAAGACATCACGTTAATCAGAAGTATTGGCACACAATATATGTTAATTATGATTGTACCACTACTACTATCGCACAATAGTGCTAGTGAAACAATCCATGTTGTTACAACACAGCAACCTATCATATGAAAGTTACGTCTTACCGAAGATGAAGTGTATTAACACAAAATGATGGGACCTACTTATTTATCGGTTCATTTGACACTGCTCTTTTTAACCCGTGGCACTTGACAAGTGGTGATAGGTAGACCTCCATATGTGTACTCGAGCAGCTGAAAGTGACGACAGTTGTTGTAAATGTTCATCACTCTGACTATATTACCAAATCACCACAGTCCAAAGTAGCTGGTTACTTACTGTCAAGATCTACAAAAATTGCGATATAGTCACCACATTACACATAAGTGTAATTACTGAGCAGTAAGTGTCTCACCTTCCGTTGCTTTGCATACATAAATGGTTACTAACGAGTATATAGTTTTCTTCATATGTGTGTAGAAGCCTTACATTCACCATAAACCAGTGCTCATACTATTGTCAAGTGACCCATGGATCCACAGTTTACAGTAACCTATGGTTGTCCTTCAGAAAGTTAGCTGGAACTACATAATAATATGTTTACGACTGCAACCTTCTGTATAATGAAAGCCAAAATACCATAAGCCAGACATCCTTAGTCACCTTATTTTGTGCTACCACACCCAAGCTGGACGACCCCATCCGGACAGAGGATAGCGGCACAAACGGCTTACGGAGAGGTTGAGCACCTGAAGGTCACTTATTCACACTGTGATTGGCAGATTTTCCTTTGCATTAACTTTGCGGCTAATACGTGTTGTACGCTACTGAGGCGAACTTTGAAGGCGAAATAATAAAATCAGATAGACGTTATACATTTTAGCTTAAGGGAACAAGTTACCATGTGTATACATTTCACAGATGTGATAAGACTAACAATCTGCACTATGCAAGTTCAGCACTCAGAAACTGAAGGACACAACCAAAAAGGAAACTTTCACTGCAACTGTCGGAGCAAAGCAGGAAACACTACGTGACATCACAGAAGAATCAGGCATGGAAGACCACTGAAACTCTATGAAGGTGATTTTCAACGAAACGTGTTCAACGGTTTTAGGAAGAAACAAGAGATAAGACAAGGAATGGCTCTCAATGGACACTTGGAAGCTAATAGAAGAGAGGAGAATGGTGAAAGAGAAAATGATTCAATGCAAGGATGGACAGGAGAAAGAGACGCTGGGCTCAACTTACAAAGCACTGGACAAAGAAGTGAAGAAGAGTGCTAGGAAGGACAAAAGACGATTCTACGACAACCTGGCCACTGAAGCTGAGAAGACGGCAGGCAAAAGGGACCTGAGGACATTATATCAGATAACCAAGTGTCTATCCGCGAAGATATCAACACAAGCGAAACCTATAAAAGACAGCCAAGGGAACCCATTTACCAAGGAAGAAAGACAGATTAAACAATGGGCGGATCACTTCAAAGGACTCTTGAACCGACCATCACCTGCAACCCGTTCAGAAATACCAACAACAGCACGTACACAACTGTAAGTTGACACCAGTCCTCCAACGAGAGCTGAAGTCTTGAATGCAATCAGGCTTCTGAAAGCTGGAAACGCAGCTAGAGCAGATGGAATACCCACGGAGCACTAAAAGAGGACCTAGAGACGACAGGAGATATGCTGACTCCATTATTGCAAAAGGTCTGGAAGGAGGGAAAGGTGCCTACTGACTGGAGAAAAGGCTACCTCGTGAAACTACCAAAGAAGGGCGACTTAGGCCCCACTCTGCAAGAACTGGCGAAGAATCATGCCCCCGTCGATGCCAAGTAAAATCCCGAGTCGCACCAGCCTGGAGAGAATGAAGGACGCACTGGAGACAGAACTCCGACCAGAACAAGCTGGATTCAGGAAAGGTGAATAATGTCCTCACCAAATCGCAACTCTACGCATCATCATCGAACAAAGCATGGAATGGCAATCAAACCTCTATCTCAACTTTATAGACTTTGAGAAGGCTTTCGACAGCGTTGACCGTGAAGTAATTTGGAAACTACTCGAGTACTACGGCGTACGGTGCCCAAATATTCATCAACCTTATTCAACAGCTGCACGATAACGGCACATGTCAAGGGATTCGTAACGAAAAACTCAGCGAGGCGTTTGGAGTAAACACAGGAGTCAGACAAGCGTGCTGGCTTATTATCACCAATGATATTCCTAACTGTGGTGGACTGGATTATGCGTCAGACAGCAGGAAACGAGAAGTCAGGACTATCCTGGACCGACGCGAAGAACCTAGAAGACCTGGATTTCGCGCGTGGATGATTTATGTTTGACGTCACACAAAATCGAAGACTTACAAGCGAAAACCGACGGAAAAAAAGATAGAAGAAACAGCCGGCGAAGACAGGACTCCAGGTGAACATAGACAAGACGGAGGTTATGAAAATAACCAATCAACAAGAACTACAACAGCAACATTCAGTGCCAATCACCATCAACGGGAGGGATTTGAAAGAGGTTACCTCATTCACTCACTTCTTTAGGGAGCATCGTCTTAACTACAGGCAGCCGGAACGGACGAGGATGTCAAATCGAGCGAGAATCGGGAAGGCGAGAAACACATTCATCGACCAACTAAAACCAATCTGGAAATCTTCGTCACTCAACATCAACAACAAAATCCGGTCGGATTTTCAATACAAACGTAAAGTCAGTTCTTCTATACGGATCAGAAACTTGGCCGGCGGGTGACAAAGAATATCTCCAACAGCCTGTTGCACACCTTGATCAACAACTGTCTTTTCTCCCTATACTGAAGATCAGATAGCCGGGCCGGAAAGAATCACCAACAAGGAACTATGGGAACAAACAAAGCAAGAACCAATCGCCAACCAACAAATATGCAGGAGAAAGTGGAGATGGATCGGTCACTCGCTGAGGAGATCGCCGGGTGACATCGTGCGTCAAGCCCTCGAGTGGAACCCGAAAGGGGAGCGGCGAGTGGGACGTCAGTTCAAGGGTGACATGGAGGAGATCGTGCGAAGAGGAGTTGAAACAGTATGGACTAACATGGATGCAGGTGAAAAGTACAGCAGAAGACAGAAGCAAGTGGAGACGTGCAGATGAAGCCCTATGTTTCACTAAGAATCCAAGGTAAAAATAATACAATAATAATACAAGAAAAATATTACTAGGTAACTTAATCGAAGGAGTTTAAAGTTTCAAGATTTGATCTCTTTCGCTAGGTTGTAATGGATGGATAAGAGAGTCACTCGGGTAATATTAGCTATTTAGAGAAGATAAAGTGTGAGGGATATTTTGGAAATTCTACAATTCTTCAAATTTGTCGTGAGATATAAGGATGACTATATAGAATTTCACCAGCTGTATGATAGTTGCCTCCCTTGTTCACATATTCAGGGTGGCTGAGATGAGGAATAGTTCACCAGAGGTAAAATCAATTCACCTTATATGTATACTTTCTCAGATTTTTCTCAGTGCGGCCGAAGGTATTCGAGGGAATACAATCTCAATCCGGGCTTGAAAACAACATATCCAGTTTCTCCGAACGGATCTGGTGGTGACAGAAACTGCAGAGACTGGTCCAACACTACTGCCAATGCAGGCGAACTGATACAAATGTTACGGATACAGTGATTAGTGGACTTTATTATTTTGATTTTGAGTTTTTTATTTTTGATTTACAGCTTGATTCCACACTGTGTTTTTGGTACAAGTAGGGAATTTTCAGCATGGATATCGGTAGCCCAAATTTTGCAGGCCGACCATAGATATCAGGTGTGCGCCGGCGTGGGCTCGAACCACGGACCATGTGCATGGTTGGCGAGAGTCCTAACCACTGTGCCACCGACGCACGATAATGCAGCTACGAGAAGCTCAGCCACTGTGTTTTTTACTAGATTGTTATTAACTCTTTTCAATGTAGATGTGTACTCTTTCACGATGAATTATTTTGACTTGATTGATCATTGTTTCGTTGCAAGTACACGCATCCATGTCGACTATATTTGTCTCCCTCACTTATCATTTTGAAGATATTGCATGGTTAACGAGAATGATAGGAAACGCAGTAATACTTGTGTGAAATGCGTCAGTCTTCAACTGTTATTATTTCCCCAATGCATCATCATGCCTTGCGTGAAGTGTTTCAGTTACGTTTGATCCAGTTACATATAATATTAATACTCACGGTTGTTGCGAAAATAGTCATTGACCATGTGTTTGTACTGTGTAGCGGTAAGTAACTTTCCCAAATTATTGACCAAAGCACTCATCACTGAACATTGGATTCTGACCCTCACTGTTTAAGTTGACTTGTTTAGTCGAGGGCCTTCATTCAATCATCCTCATTATTTGGTACTCCGTCGTGTCATATTTGTGCGCGATCACTAGCCAGCTTAGCTTTCGCTTCAGTCCACGATTTGGTATCGAAATATACCTCGAAGTTTGGACGGTCAAATACTGTCTTTTGCTTTGCCTTTGGTTCACGAGAAACGAATACTATAGAAGTTGTTGGTATAATACCTTGGTTTACTATAGTCCCTACAATTCGCGAACGTCAGTACCGTCAGCCTCTAAACTGATGAACCCAGCCGCGAACTTCATCTTCGATAAATACGCAGATAAACCCTGTGAGTTCGTTCCTTTTTGTATCTCTTCTTGTACCATATTGTAAACGGCAAACATTTAGTCATGAGTGATTCTAGTCCCAAGGTCATTCATATTCGCTCAACTGCCAAAACCATTCAGCTTGTACCATATTGGCCAGATAATGCTGAAACGTGGTTTCAGATAGCTGAGTCTGATTTTTGTGAGCATGAAATAAGCGATCAACGTTCACAGTTCCTCGCAGTCATTCACGCCCTACTGCAGGGATTCAGCAAGTGCGTAAATGTGCATATGTCGAGTCCAGAGGCAAATAACTCGTACGAGTTGTTCAAAGCATCCCTCCTGAGGAGAAACGCTCTCACGGATCGACAACGTCTGGGCGAATTATTTCGTAACATCGAGTTAATGGAACAGTTAGCCGTAAACATGCTAACAAGAATGATAGAGGTTATGGGCCAACGTCAGTTCGATGAAGGACTTTTCAGAAAACTCTTCTTATTCAGGTTGCCACAGTCCGTGCAGACTGCACTTGTGACACTTCAGGGTGTTCTTATGGTTGACTTAGCTGTTTCTGAAGATAAAATTCTAGAAATAGTTAAACGGCCAGTTCCTGAAATATGCTTGGTGGCCAAACAGACTTCGAGTAAGGATACTGCTGTGATAGAGTTATGCAACTCCATCCAGCAGATGCTTAGTTCAAACAAGCCTTGCAATTCCTCCCACCGTCGTGCGAAATACCCTCAACGGTGAAACTCACGTGGTCGATCTTAGTCCAAGCCACGTTTACTGAAAAACCCTGACCGGTGCTGATATCACAACACCTATGGCTAGGAAGTGAAATGTTGCCGAAAAACTTGTACCCTCGGCAATGTTCCAAAGTCTGTGGGAAACTATCCCACCGGCACGCGTTAGCGGCAACCGTCGCCGAAGGCACTAACCGCCTACTTTACATTCATGATATGATCAGCCAGACACGATATTTAGTCGACACAGGCGCCAAAGTCAGCGTCCTTCCTGCTATAGCAGCAGATCAACAGATGGAACCTATCTTCAACCTACAGG